AAATTCCTCTAAATTTTTCTCTCTTTTTTTAATTACATAAATGTTACTACTTGAATAAAATGAAACTCATATAGAATGAACTAGTAAACATAATATTCTAAAGATCCGCATAATTAATGTTGTAACAGAATTCTGTGATGAGACAAGTCAGAAAATGATCTGTAAGCCATTAAATTATTAGTAATTAAAAATTAATATATAGTTTCAGTTACATATATTATATATGGAACAAATTGATGCTATAGTTTTAGCAGAATATTGGTTGGCCAAATCCATGCTCTGTTCTCCAACCACTCCTCAAAGAAAATATACCAATACCCACTTTACTATTACAACCCCCTAATCCCTAATCTCTATCATTATTTTATTTTCCATTAATCATACCTGTTTTGGACATTTTTAATAAGCCTGAGTTGGAAAATTCAACATTTATGTGGCATGTATTTGTATTATATATACATAAAGGTGTGATTCATATAAATAGTTTCGTTGAAGTTTGAACTCTCAATCACTCTAAATTCTTTTAATTTTGGTTTTTTTAGACCAATGAACCAACCCGTAATAATTTTTGACTTGGTAATTCTAAATTATATAAAAATACGGCCCTATGACTGAAAGTTTTTTGAGTTCAGTTTGTTAGGGAAACTTGTTGAAAGTTTTTTTTTTCTTTGGATTAGGTTGAATTTAATTAAACACATTAATAAACCATGATGGGAAAATATCAGAACTTGGATTATGAAATATAACAAGATACATGTCTTTCTTGTTTTCTTTTTGTATTTTGAGAAATCGTTGTTGGAAAACAGCTGATTCAGCATCTAAAGCTGCACAAAGTCAAGTTTTAAAGGAAAAACACAGAGCTCGTCCACACAAAAAAGGTAAAATGATGATGAAATAAGAGAGCACAGCCCAACCATTGAGAATCTAAAGTGAACCCGAATAGCACCAAACACCATGCGACAGCCTGCGCGATATTGGGCACATTCTTCCATGCCCCACAACTCGAATGCTCCGACATCGATTACTCTCTTGGGACGATCATAATTTTTACAGTGATATGATATTGCCTACTTTGAATCTAAATGTTCGTAATCTTAATAGTTTCTTAACCAAAAAGTTTCGTATCAACAAAATAATTGTCCTTACTTAGATCTATATCTTTTATTGCGATATTCATAAATAAATTAAATTTACCTAATCCATCAATTTAAGTTTTTGGGTTGAGTGGTGGTTTATTCGTAAGAACATGACTGTGCACAATTAGAAGACATTTAGAGACTTGTTACACTTTTTAAGATTAAATCTAATGTAATAAGATATTATATTTATTGATATAATAGACAGAGTAGCCTATAGTATGGAAAATTTCCCCCACAAATGCACTTTGTTGTCATGAATTCCCTTATTTGCTCTCACTCCACCTTCTTATTAATTCTTTCTAGCTACATGTTGTTTTTGTTGTTGTCTCTTTGGCCTTATTCACTCAGCTTTTACTTCCCCTTGGAATCTGGAAACCATCTCATCTCCATTCAATTTATAAATCTGTCTCAGCTATAAAAATTGACCCAAATTCGTATGCCCATACTCATCTTTCAGCCTTTACATGACATTTTTAATGTTATTATATAGTTCAACATCCGAGTGCGTTTCTGAAACTCACGAGAAATCGTCCTTATACTCTACTTCCCCAACCCTACGTATTGTCTGTATACAATGACGTCAAACTAATGGTTTTACTTCCGACATTTCATTTCTCACAACCCTCTTGAATTTTTAAAATATAATACTTTACTCCATAAATATATTTATCCACAAAATAACAATCGTATCCTTTCAAGCACTTGCTACCGTGCCATTCTCCAACGGGATGTTTATTTTGCGTATACATCATTTTAGTGATGTTATTAATTTGTAAACGGAACAAAAAAAATTACCAACATGACATATCGTATGATATCTACTCTTTCTTTTAAAGTCAAAAGATCACATTTTCACATTCCTATTTTTTTTTAAGAACTCATACCCCTGATAGTTATCGTAAAAAAGAATGAAATAAATCTAAAATGGTATAGACCAAAATAAAATAGTCTAAAAATTTCAACTTTAAAAGTCAATAGACTTGGAAAGAGTTAGATGGATTTTTTTTATAATAATAAATGAACCATACTTAGGTGTCGAGCAATCCACTCATTCTTTTGCTAAGCAGCACATAAAAACGTGAGATGGGACAAACTAAAAAAAACGATCTTTATTTTTTCGAAAAAAGATATTTTATTATTACGGTCAGTAAAAAAGGATGAGTGCCCAACATTGGATTTAAAAGTGTGAGAAAAAAAGAGTAATAATAAAGAAAAATACTCGTGTCTTGGAGGTGGAGTGTAATCTTGCTCTTACCACCGTTAAGAGAGAGTGAAATGTGAAATACAAAACCAGAGATTTTTTTATAAAAATTAATCCGTCAAATTTCTAGGGGTTTGAGGACAAAATTTTCTTTAGGTTAACGAGTACGTATTTTTCATAATAAACAAAGAGATGATATGAAAAAGAAGGGAAAGAAAGATGGGAGGCCCACAGCAGCACACGAAAACCTATCAGTTTCTTCCTCTTTATTACATTTCTTGGATCCCTCTCCAATTTCACACCCTCTAAATATAACACTTTCTAATCTCTCTCTCTCTCTCTCTCTCAGAAACTCAATTTCAATGGCGCTCCTCACTTCCTCCAACCAGAAGAAACCCGCAAGCAATAAACGCAGAAAAAAGCCCCAAAACCAATCCTCATGGGACCAAATCAAGAACCTCCTAACCTGCAAACAGGTGCGTTCCTTAAACTTACCACTAATTAAATTCTCTTAATTATATGTTAAATTTTCCTATCTAGCTATTAACTTTATTATTCCTGAGCTCAGTTAGAAGTTCACGATCCGGCCAAACGGTCACCGGCCTACTCGAAGCTGGGCTCCTCTTGCAGCTCCATATGTAGTTTCAGAGACGTGGTCCATGCCAATGCCAGAGTCGTTCACAGAGCCGACAACTCACCGGAAACCAGCTCCGTCGGTCAGGAAACTAGGTTACTCACCCGAAAACCCGCCAACGGTTCCTCGTCTCGTTCTTTAACGCCGCCGCCGCCGCCGCCCAGAAACAAAAACGGCGCCTCGTCTGCCACCTCCTACTCTTCAAGAGGAATTCAATTCAGAAAGCTTTCTGGGTGTTACGAATGCCACACCATCGTTGACCCTACCAGGTATATTTTTTAACATATCATCTCCAAAGAATCTAAATAAATGATTAAATATACACTAGTTTTTTTTTCCTCCTTTATTTCTTCTGATAATTGTGATTCTCCCGTAGTTTAGAGGTATCATTGAGAATTTTTAGTATTAAGTTTATCAAAAAATTCGAACTTGAAACCTTTGTATGATCCATAAATTCCAAATCTTTATTAACTGATGTGCTTTTGGAGGTTAAATTATACCCTAATTTGTTGATTTAAAATTTCTTATTTAGTGCCAACGTAAATTTAACTTAGTTAATGGACACCGACCAATAGATCATGCCTTCGAATCCGAATCCTTCGTCCCACTTGCTGCACTGAAAAAGGAAAATTTTAATTTAATAATAATTTACCATTGTGTTATAATATAATTGAACTTCGGATGGAATTTTAGGTACCCAGTTCCAAGGAGTTCTATCTGTCCATGTCCCCAGTGCGGAGAGGTCTTCCCGAAGATTGAAAACTTAGAGCTTCATCAAGCCGTTCGTCATGCTGGTATTTTCTAAATTCTCATTTAGAATAATATTTAGATGCATAATTAATTACTAAACCAGTCCTGTTACTACTAAAATTTGACAATTATTTATTTACTTTTTAAAATTACTCTACCTATTTTTTATTTCATTCATCTTTTTTAACTATCAAATTTTTAATGGTGGTAGATAGAATGTAAGAGACACCTACTTATATCAAAGTATTATTCTTTTCTGAATTTCAATTTCCATCCTTGTACTCTTATTATCACCAGTGTCAAATGAAACAAAATATAGCAATAAAAGGAGGGGGCAAAATGGGAGAAGGAAACACTTCAATTTCTTGGTTTAGTTAAAACTTAAAAGTTGAATAGAAAATTGGATAAATCGCTTTCATGCGCTTCGCCTTTACTGATTCACCATTTCTCTCGAGGTTTCAATGCTCTTTATTAATGCGCAATTTACAGCTGGGTTTCCCGGGGGATGACGTGTCCTGTTTATATTGGTTGCGTGAATCTCTCACCTAGGGTAAAAACCTGCAGGACCGTTGACCCAACCGACACGTAGAGATGTCAAAATCAAATCCATTAATGTTGTGTTTGTTATTTGTCTTTTTTATTATTATTTTTTTTAGTATCGGAGTTGGGTCCTGACGATTCGGGTCGAAACATTGTGGAGATCATATTCAAATCAAGCTGGTTGAAAAAGGATAGTCCGATCTGTAAGATCGAACGGATATTAAAGGTCCACAACACCCAACGCACGATCCAACGGTTCGAGGACTGCCGCGATGCGGTGAAAACACGTGCGCTCGGCAGCACCAGAAAGAACCCGCGATGTGCGGCCGACGGTAACGAGTTGTTGCGGTTCCAGTGCAGCACGTTGTGGTGCGACCTCGGCTCACGTGGCTCCACCGGCTTGTGCGGCTCCATCCCCGGCTGCGGTGTCTGCAGCGTCATCCGCCACGGCTTCCAAGGCGCCGCCGTACCCGTACGGACCACGGCAAGTAGCGGTAGGGCCCACGACTCCTTCGATTGCAGTGACGGGCGCCGGCGGGCGATGCTCGTGTGCCGTGTCATCGCCGGAAGGGTCAAGCGCATCGCTGACGACACGGCGGCCGGAGCGGCGGAGGATGAGAATATGGCGGCGGCCTCCTACGACTCCGTGTCACGCCACTCCGGTATCTACTCGAATCTCGAGGAGTTGGTTATTTTCAATCCAAGGGCTATCCTTCCTTGTTTCGTCGTGATCTACGAAGCCCTCCAAAGCTAATTAACGACGTCGTTTAAGCCATCTTTTTTTCCCCTTCTCTAATTTCATTCCGTTTAGTTTGGTGTTATTTCAATTCCGTCTATATTGTTTAGAAAAAGTTTTAATTTAGTCCCTTAAACACTAAAAGACCCTAATTAATTAAATGATGTAAGGGACTAAATTAAAACTTTCAAGCAATAGAGATTAAGTTGAAAAACACGACTAAATTAAACATTTAGCAAGAATTTAACGGTGTGTTCTGTTGGGTAGGTAATTAACCTTACGTTTGTATAGCTTTTGATACTGTGTATTATTTTAAATTGTGGGTCTTAATTAGCATAAACAAATTTAGAGGTCGATAACCTGTTTTAAAACGACTGAAGCAAATTGTACGTATGTGGAATTTGTCTTTCGGCGCTATCATTTTTTACTTTTGATTTTTGATTTTTGGTGGAGAATGATTGGTTTTATTTATTTTTACGGGTAAGTTATGATGGAACTGGAAAGCAGAGGAGAAAAAATGATGAGGGTCCACGTGACAGATTCTTGGCTTTGGAAACATTTCAAGGAAGAAGGTGGTGCCATCAGCCATGGTCTTTGCTTGCTTTTTTGACCTCTCCATCCTTCTTTCATTTTTGCATACAAATACAATTCTCTCCACATGCATGCGCATCATATCATATATAATTATGAAGCATATGTTGAATTATTGAACATTGGAAAATGATTTTATATGACATCCATTATTTGTTAATTTGAATTATATGCATGCCCCACTTTTTGTATTTTGGCTTGATACACCATCCATTTAATGAAGATTTTTGTTTGTACCGCTTAAAAGATCATGATGGTATATTTTGATTTCGTAAGTGAAACAGAAATTGAAGTTTTCACTTCTAATAGCTCTATTTAATACCAATTAGTTAATTTGGATAACAAACCATATCAAGGTGTGGGAAAAAAGTCCATATTGATTAGAAGAAAGAGTGATCTAACAGGTTATGTCCAAAACAGGCAATACTAAGATATTTCTCTAATTAATATTAAATCTCATCCGTGTATAACCTCTTCATCCACAAAAAGACAAGAGGGCCACTAGATGAGAATGATGAGATATGCATGAATCTTATTTTGATTGTCCATTCCATTATTGGCCCAGTAAATGTAAACTTAGGGAAGATAAACCTCCAAGCAAGGTATTAAAATTTTCTTTTTCTTTTTATTTTTTTTCCAAAAGAGACAAAATAAATGTGTCAGATTCAGAAATATCTCTATATCTTTAAGTAAGAGTGTACCTGAGATTTAAGCTAAGTTCTATTGATCTCTTCTGAAATTCCAATTTTTACCGTCTGGTTTCTGACGTGTATAACTATAAGTATAGAAGGTTGAAACAAAAAAAATAGTTTTTTTTTTTTATTTTTTTTATTTTTTTGTACCAAGATTTTATTCTCTTTTGCTTTTTCTCTTCAAATTTTTCGGCTTATTCTCTTCTTCTATCCACTACACCTTTTTCTTTATTTACGTTTGCAGTTTTATTTCAAGAACACAATATCTTAAACGTGTAAAATTCACATGACCTAAAGTTACAATAATCTAAACGCAAAGCTTATGAGAACATAACTGTAAGTGAATAGTATAATATAATTCTATAAAAAGAAAAAAAAGCGGAGTGAACAAGGAGACAATTGTTTTAGATTCAAATAATAATCCAAAAAGATTAAATTTTAGAGAAATTTCAGTAGGTAGTAAAATCTTTTATGTATTTTAAAATAGTTTTTAAAAATTTTCAAATATAGCACAAATTTTTACTTATATCAGATATTCATATCAGTAATATATCTTGCACAAATACTCATATCAGTAGTATATCAAATATATATCACATATATATTGCAAGTATATCAGACACTCTAGAATATTGAATGTATATCAGATACATATATCAAATGTAATATGTTTGTATATCATTTTGGTAAAATTGTCATTTTAAAATTGGACATTTATTTTTTTGTAAAGTGCTATATTTGAAAAGTTAAATGTGGTTACTATTTTGACAATTATTTTTGCCATATTTGCAACTGTCGAATCCCATTATCTTCCCTCCCGGGCTATTACTTGAGTTTACCGTTAATTCCTCCCAGGTAGCTAACAACAAACTCGATTCAGCACTAAAAGAGGAAAATCAATAACATACATATTGACTCAAATTCGTTCCAAATACGACTTATGAGGTAGGACACGGAATTATGATCATAATTAAATTCGATATTAATTAACAGTACTATTTTCAAATAGATGCTTCCAAGGGAAGTATCCACTAATAAATATTATTTAATTTTGTGTCGCATCTGTTTTCTGAGGGAGACTTCAAAGGTGTGAATTCAATGTAAGTTTTAAATTTCCTTAATTTTGTATAAAAAATAATTCTTTAATTTTATTTTCATGGAAACATCCCTTAAAAAAACAAAAAACAACAAATAAAAAAGCATCCAAATTTCGGAAACATCCCTTCATTCAAATTCTAACAATTTCATATGACATGCCTCCTTGTCCAGGAGCATGAGATAAATTTGGAATTTTCGATGTTTTCTATGAAAGCTACATATTCATATAATCAAAGATACCCATTCATATAATCAAAGAATCAAATATTGATATCTCTTTTTCTAGATTGTAGGCACAAATATTTTCTCCCCATAGTAAAAAATTAAAATATCGCTAAAAGTAATATTTCAGAAAATCAACTTAAATGTAGATCTCAAAATATAATTAGACTAATGACATAAATTAGTAACATAAATTAGCGTCGCACATATCCAATCCTAGCTAGCTCTTCTACTCAATATGTGGGCTTGGGCTTTTCCGGCCCATGTACCGTAGATTGTCTCTCATTAATGACCTAACATAACTAAAAAGCATAATACTAAATGAATTTGGAATGATAATGAAAATCTGATATATGAGATTTTGCTACTTATTTTTAATTTCATATTTTATTATTTTTGTAATATTTTTGAAATTATTTTTGTAAGTTAGAATAATGAATTGCTATTATATATTAATATGATACATTATTTTTATTAAATTATTTTGTAATTCATTCTTTAATATATCTTGGATCTAATTTGTTACATATTTCACCAGCAGATCGCATAAAAAATTATGGTAAGGTTGTGATGTCATTATTATGGAATTGCTTTGTAACAAGAAACAAAGTACAAGACATAATTATAGCGTCTTGCAGAAATCATTGTATCAAGTCCTTCCACCCATTAACTAATCCTTATCTTATAATTTGTCATTTTACAAAAAGGGGTATTTCAGTGCACAATTATTGGTTAAAAATCAGCCTCAATTATAGGGCATTTCAGTCCATTTTGGACCACTTTGACCGTCCTCTAATCCGGGTTTTTTATTTTATTCTATTTTGTTTTAAGTTCAACCAACGAAAATTCGAACTTTTCTCAAGGTTCCACCATTTAATTATCGAAGATTATGCTTAAACCAATTAAACAATGTTCCGATTGTAATTATTTACTTAATTTTCCCATTCTTTCTTAGTTTTATCAAAATATGTTTCTCATATGTTTTAATTTAGTTGCTAGTATCAATTTGGGCTCCACAAAATGTTTTGAACATCGAAGCATTGCACCCTAAAGCTGCCTCCTTAACCATTGTTTTTGTCAAAATTGATAAACGGGCCATAAACTCATCATTCTTCACATCTTTTGCCTATCAAAACTCCCAATATATTCTGCTCATTATTTAAATTATCGAGGATGCAAACATAAGTTTCATGTTAATTGGAAGAGAAGGAATTATGATATATAATAAAGAGCAACGTCTCCGTTTGATCAAGAAAATGACCAAGTTCGCGAATCTTGACTCGATGAGTTGGAAAATTGGCGAGCAAGAACCTGTAAAATAGAAGACATTCCGATACTCAAGTCAGTAGATAGTTGAGCTATATTCGAGAGAGAATGCAGTATTCGCATACCTAGAATAGAAATGGATGATCTCTATTTATAGGCAGGATCTCCGACAGAGCTCTAACGACTCTTTTAAACTGATAAATGCAGCATGCTATCGTGGAATGCATCACAGAGTGAGATTGAACGGAACATCTTTAGGTCGGTTCGACCAAAGAACGGGAACAATGACCAGATGAAGACAAAGTCGGTTCGATCGTTTACAGTGTCAGCTCGATGGTAAATATGAAGACCAAAGTAACGAACCTTGGCCATATGAATTCAATGCATTGAATTCATGTAACTCTCATCATATCAAGACTTGCCACATGTAACTCTTATCATATCAAGACTTGTCAGGTGAGAATTCACCTCCAACAATCTCTATAAAGTTAAAGTAAAAGTACATTCATGTAGCACGAATCTAAAATAGACAGATATCATGACATCATACAATTATGAAAGTTAAGTATTTGTCTTAATAATTTTTTTAATATAAAATAAGTGTATATTAAGACTGAGAAATTGATCGTACACTTAATATAAATTAAACTTGTGAACCAGACGCTTTGTTATTCAATTTTATTCGGTTGCCACGTTGGAATGCTTCATTGAATCAAACCCATAACAACTTTCGTTCCACATTCTCAAATACCATAATTAATAAGAAAAATATCTCTTTTTAAAACTCGTTTTTGGTTAGCTAGCCAGGGCTACATGAATTCGTTTTAAAGGGAAATGATTTGAGCACATGGAGAGTTGGGACATAGCATCTCCTTTTTCACTCTTGATTATGCTCTGCAAATCTTGGCTCATAGAAATTGCCTATTCCCATGCTTAGAAAAACTCAAACCCAACCCTTCTGAACCAAACATATTTCTCAAATATATATATAGAAATCACCAAACGACACCCATTATTAGCATTCCATTTCCCGGGGAGAACACCAATATGCAAAGGCCTAAAACCGAAGCCCTTGCCGCTGCTTCTCATTCCAAATCTCTCAACTTCTCCTCCATGAAGCTCTTCCATCGAATCCGTAAGATACTGATGCGGCTGGTGTTCTCTTTTCCATCACGAGTGTCGCCGAGACGAAAAACGAGCTACGACAAGTCGTTTGAGCCACCGAAAACGTCATGTAGCTCGTATTACTCTTCCCACTCCCATTACGACGAAGCCATTGCCGATTGCATCGAGTTCTTCAACAAGTCGTCACAAGATGAGGTTTTGGAGGCTCAAAACCTCCATGTTTTAGTATGATATTGAGAATGCGAATAATGTCCCACGTATCATACCATTTGTTAAAAATGGGGAGAGATTTATGTTGTCCTTCAAAAATTTGGTTTTCGTTTGCCATTCATTTTTGTGAGTTTTTTGTATTCACATGTACCTTTACTACTTGTGCCCTTTCATGTGTTCTTTTATTCTTGGTGCTTCACATTTTATTCTCTAATTTTTTTTCCAGCATTAGTAATTTTCAGTACTACAAATTTGACCGACGTGTGCCATTTTTCTTTATTAGTTGATTCTGGTGATAAAAGTTCAAAGAAATGTTCGTTTTTTCTTTTTGAAAAATACATATATTGATAGCTACAAAACGTCGACAAACATTTATACGATAGTTACCATCAACTTTTATATACTTTTGTTGACGATAAGAAAAGAAAGAATTGGTGGTCGACATGGTTAAGAAGCTTGATGGAAAAGGTATTGTTAGTTGTTACTACTCCTCTCCATGCTTTACCATTCTTATTTATGACACAAGACAAAGAAACATTTCTGGAAAAGAATGCTACAGAAAACCTAAATTGCTTTTTAGCTTTCTTAGTCAGAGAAGCAAATTACATAAATATCCTTGTAGTTTTTGGTGAGTACTGAGAGGGGAGTAAAATCCACAAAAAAAAAAAAAAGCAATTGAAAAAGAAACCAAACATCAGAACTATTATTATAATCAGAAGAGTTAGAGCCAAGCCACACACAGTCGAAGAAAACCATCTGGTTAGTCCATACAGTTACATTTTACATTATCTAAAATAACTTGTTTTTTAAAATAGCTTCTCAAGGATATTTACTACCCAACAAATAATGAATAAACCAAATAGGATAGAGCCTTGAACTAAATTGAAAAGTTCTCCTCAATTGCTTTGGAAGCTAAAAATCATATACTTTTATGTAGTAGTATTTGCTTTTCTAATGTTACAAATGTCTTTTCACTTCACCTCAAGGACATTGAGATGAGATGCAGGGCAAGCACTTCACATTACCACACATTATGCCAGAAAAATTTCAAGTAATCAGTACATAATTCTCTCATGAAAAACGAGGTTGAGGCATGCTGTGGAATTGAGAGTGCCCATCTAACAGCAATTAAACTATTTGATGACATCATAAATCGGATGAAGGAGACATATTGAAGGAGAAAATGCAGTTCCTGAATAGTGTAGTTGATGGTTAAAAAACGTCACCAAATACAAAAAGTTGACGGTTTTGGACCATCAACTAAAATGAAGAAGTTGACATTTTGATAACGTTGACACCGTCATATTTGACAGCTAAAAAATGTCAATTTTCGTTATTGTTAACAGTTTTTTTAGTAAAATAATTCGAACTCACGACCTTTTTGGTGTGTCAGTTGAACTATCTCAAATTGGTTGATTGTTGAGAGTTTCTGGTCATCAACAGCCAAATTAATAGCTGTGTTGAAAGATTTATGAGATAAAAAAGTTAAAAAAAATATCATATACTACAAATTATATGCATGGACTTTATTATCACATGACCATATCTCTTCATAATTAAACCTACAAATTTTGGCCTCAAACTTCACTGTTTGAAAATTTTCGCTTATTTTCTCAAGGGATCACATAAATCTAATCGGTGGGTGTGTTTTAGTTTCCTTTTTTCTTGGAAAAAATGGCTGAAATGATAGGGATCAATGTCTTCTTGATCCTATTCTTCTCCCTTCTAAGAGAAGAGAGCCTCTCCAATTTCTCGACTCCGGCGGGTGGCGGAACGGCGACCTGAGCGACGGCGGCGGGTGGGTTGGCAAAAGTGACGTAGCGTTTCTTTTGGAACTCCATTGAATCGGAGTGATCTACAAGTTTGACATCTTCGATTTGGGATTCTCGTTCTTCCTTGAGAAGCTGCAGCTCTTTCTTTGTGTTCTCGAGCTCTTCTTGGAGAGAGGAGAGGCAATGAGCCATCACCATGCTTTCTTCTTTGGCCTTTTCAAGGCTTTGCTTTGTTTCTTCTAACTCAGCTGCTACGTTCCCCAGCTTCAGCTCCCCATTCTTCATTTCAGCTTTAAGCTCTCCCCTATGCATCTGTTCATAAAAAAAAATCCAACCTTTTTCATCAAATTCAATGCTTCTTTCCCCAAATCTTCTTTTATTATCCATTTAACAACTACCCATTTCAGTTCTCTTTCCTCTAACCCGTTGATGGCCTTTAAAAAGTTATGTTTAAAAGATATCTGAAGTACTACTTACAAATTTATGTCATAACTACAACGTGATGGTGGATTGATTTTTGACAAGTTCATATTTTTAAAATTGAAAATTTAAATGTACATTGGATTATTTTTAGAGGATAAGGACCAAATAGAAAAAAACCCTCGGTGATTTCTTAAAACTTTTTAATGTATAAGGACTAAATAGACAATATGACGAATGTTCCAAGCATCGAAGTTTTAATTTAGAACCTTTTATTATTATTATTTTGTGTAATCTTGTGTATACAGTAACATTCTACATGGTGATTCACTTAGGATATGATCTTTTACTTCAACCCAAAGCAAGAAAATACAACTAGATTCCAAAGTACAGCTTTTACTAAAGTGAGCAAATTATATCAATATTTCTCCTACTACCTATGATAGATAGTTCCATATTCCATCAACAAATTTGGATAAGTAAGGAATTTTCGGGCAATTCCCTTGTTCTCTCACATATCCACCACAGAATAATATAATATGTACTTTAGTTTTAACTTTGATGCTTTTACCATATCAACATGATCTACCAATTCAGGAGAAAAAAGTTTTTAGCTTTTACAATCGAGCCAGAGACTTAATTTCCCTATCACTTCCAAAAATTCCAAAAAATGCAGACAAAAAATATGGACACTTAGGTTGTAATCTGTTTTCTAATTTAGGCGATAAGAAAAGGTACAACGAGAAGACACCTGCTTAATCTTGTTGGTATATAGTTCTCCGGCCAAAACCTTGTCGCCGAACAACGTAACGGCTTCTTTGACTGATCGGAATGGCTTTCTGGTGTCGATCTCTGCCCTTTTAGCCCTCACAGCTCCACCTCCATTTTCCATGTTAAATGGAAACAAAGAAAAAACAACCCAATTAAAAACTTTGGTTTCCCTGTCAAGAAATTGAAGGATGAGGTTTCTGTTCCAACTTCCAAAGAGAGAAAAAAACAGCGAGAGGAGTGAATTGGGTAATGGAGGAATTCAGAAGACACAAACAAGAAATGTGGGAAAGAAAGAGAAGTGTAAATGGTGGCAATATTGGCCAATATCAAGTACCAAAGCTTCGTTTCTTGGCTTCCACGTTAATGGAATTCTGTTATATTTTGAGGCAAAAGAGAGTGACAGTTGAACAGTTAGCCAACTCAAGCATATGTATATATTCTTTATTTATTTGTGTATACGAAAATTGACTGATTTGAATACTAAAAACTTATGCTTGTCAATGAAGTCAGAGGGGGGTCTATTTTGTTCCCTTTTTAACTTAGTAAGCTACCTTTGTAGTTACTTTAATGAACATATCCTTGACAGACTCATTAAGCTTGTAATCTTATCCCTCATACACATTTGGGCTTCCTTCTCGACTAGAATCTCTTGCTTTTTTATCTTTTGAAAAAAGAAGAAGAAGAAAACCATTGAGTATTAATTTGTGACCATGAAAAGTTTGTCAAGGTCCCAACGAAGTTGGAAAAGACACATTCAATTCTTTTCAGGAGCAGATCAATAGTGTCGCTTCTAGGTAAATGTCTTGTTCTTGTACCGTATCTCCTTTTATTGATAAAGAGTCATTTAGGAGTCTTGATCCAAACAATTTTCCTCACATGGGTAGAATTTCCATTCAACCAAAGGATGTTTTTTATCAACTTCAAGGTGGTAGGTTAGAAATTCCTCTTGTTTTTTAAAAATTATAAGACTCAAAATCCAATTTTTCACACCTATCAAGTTGAATGAAAACAATTTTTATTAATTTAAGAATATTAATATAGTAAACTAATCCCTAATCTAAAATGTTTGAGAGGGTAAATATTACAACTTTATAAATTATTTTTTAATGAACTAATTTTCAAAAAGAACCTAGCTTAAGATATTTCTACCCATTATTGTGATTGCAATTGGCAACAAACAATTGAGCAATTGAGAGGTGTTGTCGCAAGTGGATCATAAAACACCTGAAGATTGAAAATACGCCCCTCCCACTGTTCTGTCCGTCCTGTTTTCATTTCTATAGATTTGTCCTTCCAAAAAAAAAAGACACCCAAACCCCTGTTTGGGAATTAGGATCTGTAATCAAAGATCTGATTTTTTTTCACATTAAAATTAACTGTTTCAACTACCCCACATCAAAAGTTGAAGAAAAGACCTTGTTTGTTGTTGCAACTGTATCAACCCCAAATCCCTTCCTTTTCATTTCTCTGTTTTTGATCCATCTCTTTTCCGGTTGCCAAAAATGTCGGTCGCGGCCGTTGGATCTTTCTCTACGGCAACACCTCCCACTTTGAGGGGCCGGCCTCGCTTCACCATGGCCGTCCGATCCAAATTGGTCTCTGTTTCTCCAATTTTGACCAAGTTTCAGAAGGACTGCGACACTCCTCTGCCGGTTTTGCGCCACGTGGCCGATGCCATGGCCGATGACATGCGGGCCGGGCTCTCCGTCGACGGCGGCGGCGATCTCAAAATGATTCTCAGCTACGTCGACGCTCTCCCTAGTGGGTATGTTTCAAAGTTCAAAGCTTCGCTTAAACTGCGTCGTTTTGTTCTCTCTGCTTCTTATGTCACTGATTGTGAATTTGTGAAAGGAACGAGAAAGGGCTGTTTTATGCAGTGGATCTCGGTGGCACCAATTTTCGAGTGCTGAGAGTGCAATTGGGTGGCAGAGAACAGCGTGTTATTGCCACTGAATTCGAGCAACTCCCAATCCCTCAACAGCTCATGTCTTCCACATCTCAGGTCCACTGCTTCTTCAACTCTTGTTCTTCTTCCATTGAACTCAAAAGTCTAAGTTGATAGATTATGATCACTCGTAGCTTAGAAATTAGCACGACTCCTAAAAAGTGACTACCATTTAACCCGCAAGTCTTTGAACTTTCACTCTTTGGGTTTTTGAACATGTTTAGGAACCTATTAACATTCTATTAAACTCTAATGTTGAAAGTTTAGGAATTTATGTACATAGCTTGAAATCCAACCTCTGTTAACTCATGAACTTCCCTGCTGTTTGAAGGAGCTCTTCGATTTCATTGCTTCTAGTCTGGAAAAATTTGTAGAGAAAGAAGGCGAAAGATTCCACCTCTCCCCTGGAAAAAAGAGAGAGATTGGATTCACATTCTCATTCCCAGTGAACCAAACTTCCATTAATTCTGGCATACTAATCAAATGGACTAAAGGTTTTGCAGTTTCTGGAGTGGTATCATTTTCCCCATTGTTTCACTTAAGGGAAAGATTTTAGTTAGCCAATGTCAAAATGACCTTGCCACTTACTGTTTGAAACTTATTAACAGGCTGGGAAAGACGTGGTTGCTTGTCTAAACCAAGCCATGGAAAGGCGAGGAATGGATATGCACGTTTCGGCTCTCGTATGTTCTCCCACCTATAACCTGCCTTGGAAAATGTGTTCTACTTAGATGCATTCTTGATTCAGTAACCGAAAACAGGTTAACGACGCTGTTGGAACCTTGGCTGGAGCTCGATTCTACGATGACGATGTTGTGGCTGCTGTGATTTTAGGTACTGGAACCAATGCCTGCTATATAGAACGAATGGATGCTATTCCCAAGCTGCAAGGCCAGGCATCTTCTTCAGGGAAAACAGTATGTGCTATAAACCAATGCCTCTGCTCCTCTGGTTTCGTAAATTGGTTCATTATCCGCAACTTAATATCGTTCTTTTGTCGTCAAAAACTCTTTTGTTTCAGATTATCAGCACCGAGTGGGGAGCGTATTCAAAAGGTCTTCCTCTGACTGTTTTTGATAGAGAGATGGATGCTGCCAGTATCAATCCCGGTGAGCAGGTGAACCGTAGTTTAGTAGTGTCGATGCAGGTTATCGATATGGTGTGTTGTAATGCTGAGTCTAGTTTGAGTGTAATATGTCAATGTACGTTATTGATGGATAGATCTTTGAGAAGACAATAGCTGGAATGTATCTTGGCGAAATTGCACGTCGAGTTCTTTTGGCAATGGCTGAATTCGCCCCTCTTTTCGGCCAATCCATCCCCAAAAACTTGTCGACGCCTTTCATCCTCAGGTATTGTCTGATGATCCAAACTTCTCAAACATTTCTCATCCAATATCTGCAGCTGATCCCTCCTTATATGTAATACTTTTATGCAGCACACCTGATCTATGTGCTATTCATCAAGATGTCTCCAATGACCTTCAAGTTGTTGGATCAATCTTGCACCATGTTTTCGGGGTAATTGTTGTCTTTTTTCGTGTCAAATGTATGCATGACAGTTTAGAATTTTGAGATGATCTCATATGCAAATAACACTTAACAATGCACAAAAGAACATAGAGGCTAGTAATGATCAGATATTGTTCATGAGTTTCCCAAATTTGATTGGGGCAATGCAATCAGGTCGAGTCGGATTTAAGCGTGAGGAAAATTGCGGTCGAGGTATGTGACACGATTGCAAAGCGAGGCGGGCGATTGGCAGGGGCGGGAATCGTAGGAGTTCTGCAGAAGATTGAAAATTTTGAAGATCTTAGGCTTGGGAAGAGGAGAGTAGTTGCAATGGATGGAGGATTGTATGAGAACTATCCACAGTACAGAAGTTACCTTAAAGAAGCAGTCATAGAACTTTTGGGAACAGAGTTGGGTAAAAATGTGGCCATTGAACATACCAAGGATGGGTCTGGCATTGGGGCTGCTCTTTTGGCTGCTTCAAACTCTATTTATGCAACATGATTCATAGAAAGGAAACAACAGTTATAATTTTTTTTCTAAATTTTGATCTATTGGTTTGATTCTATATTGCCAAATATGTAGAAATTATGTAGAAAAGTATAGTTTGAATATTGAATTTGATTTTGAACTCAAATCCTAATGGTGTTTGTGATTAAGAGGTACACTTTTTGCACATTTTTAAATGTATGGTAGCGTATCGATGACTCAATAATATTAATTGTTATCTACTTTAAATTATTTGTATAACTCTTTATTTATTTACTCCATATATATAAAAAGGTTATAGTTTTCTTAAAAATATATATATAGTTATAGGAAGAAATTATCTTATTCATTTTGCACCCTTCTTTTCCCTTAACTTTATTTAATTGGTTTACTTTAAAATTTTATATATATTTTTAATATTTTTTTTTCATCTTTTAGTGACTTTAAAACCAATATGAGTTTAGCTCATTGGCAATTGGCACCAGCCTCTAACTAATTACTCAACTTAGCTTAGCTTATGAGTTCGAATTCCTCTATTGTAATAAAAAAAAATATTTGAAATGATACTATAAAACATGACTTTAATATTTTCATTTAACATTTTTTTACATAGGTCTATTTTATTTTTTGTTTTTTCAAAATAGAAAGATGATTATTTTTTCCTTGGGGCTAAAATAAAGCTTTTTTCTAAGTCACTCTAAAATAGAGCATTTAAATATGGTATATCATGAATAATTGAAAAGTCTTTTTAATTTTTCAATCAAGGCAAAAGAATATGTTGCTAAATAAATTTATTTTGAAAATAAAATTCAAAACCAAAATAGTTATAAAGGATATTTAATTTTTTATTTCTAAAAATTCTTTTACTTTTTTTTAATTTTTTAATTATCATTCATATAAAAGTGGTTATTTATATATTTTTTTTAGTACATCGGGAGGAGATTTCGAACTCGAACTCGTAGTTCAACTAACTGAGTTATATTCAAGATCGCAAAAATACTTATTTATCTTTCAAACATTTTTTTCCTTGTTTCGAATAAAATTGAAAGTGACTTATTCAAAATGTTTGGGATTATGGAAAATAATAAAAATATATAACGAAATTAGAATTTTTAAAAGTAATTTCAAAACCGCATTTCCAACTTTGTGCGCTGAATTCGGCCTCCGAAAATCAATTCGAGCTCGTTTCGTGGATCTTCATTCGCCGTCTTCAAGAATGGTCTGTTGAATTTCACGTTTTAATGATCTTTCAGGTGGTCTCGGATGTAAGAATCTGACATTGATGTTTGATTTCGGCAGATCCGGTTCATACTTTTGCAAAACAGGCAGGGCAAGACTCGTCTGGCTAAGTACTATGTTCCTCTTGAGGAATCCGAGAAGCACAAGGTCGAATACGAGGTATTTTTATTTTCTCTTGAATTTTATTTCTTAATTCTCTGATTCTAACTTCCTCTTTCCAGGCTCAGTTCTAGGTCTTTTCTTTTGATTGTTTTCTAGGTTCACCGATTGGTGGTGAATAGAGATCCCAAGTTCACAAATTTCGTTGAGGTGAGGACCTTTTGTTCTGATTCCGTAGCTTTATGTATTGAAATTTTAATCTTATGCTGTTTCGTTCTAATATTTGTTCAAATTCGAAGCTTCATTCTAATACTTTTGTCGAAGTGGAACGAAATACCATCCTTTAACCAAGTTCTCTGCTGAATGGTTTCTTCCATTTTATTTCATTTTTTATTAAATTGAGCTGGTGGACTATATTACCTATCGGCTAATTGCATTTTAATATCTGAATGTTTCCTATAGAAGTCTCTTTCAAAGAGGGTGATGGTTATGAGCTAAAGAAATGTTTACCATTTTCTGGTTTATATAGACCTCGTTATAGGTTTACTTGTGTTGTGAGAGTTGTCCTGGATTTATTTCATTTCGGTTGACATTTTTCAGTTCTTTTCGGGTATGAGTCTTAAGATTTGTTTACTTATTTTAGTGTGTCGCGTAATGTGTTCATTTGGTTTTATTAAAGCTCTAGCTTATTGCAACCTCAACCCTTTTCGCAGTTCCGAACACATAAGGTAATCTACAGACGATATGCCGGGTTATTTTTCTCTCTTTGTGTGGACATAACCGACAATGAGTTGGCATATCTCGAGTGTATTCATTTGTTTGTGGAGATTTTGGATCACTTCTTCAGCAATGTTTGTGAGCTCGATTTGGTTTTTAACTTTCACAAGGTTTGTTGATCTTAATTTGCCCTCTTCTTTATTCTTGCTTCCATTCTAACGTGTAATGAAGATTATGGTATCTTTGTCTTTCTGTTGTACTTCTGAATCAATTAGCTGGACTGGTTTTGGTACATTTCTTAATTGAATAACATTGTTTCCTCCCCACTACCCGGTGAATTAAAATACTGTCATGGCATTGTGGTCTCAATCAGTAGATACCAGGGGTTAAATTCCTTATGCTTTTTCTCAATTCTTTAAGTTGGTATCAATATCTTAGGTCAGTCAGTTAGGCAGCAGTTGCATATATATTTCTTTTTACCTTCAGTTTCTGGGTTGAAAATGTAAACATTTATCATCTGATGATTGTGTTTGCTTGGATGCGTTTGAGGAATTTCAGAAGACAGTTGAGATTTGTTAGTGTTGTAACTGTAGTGTTAAATCTGCTGACTGCTACCATACCGATCCACATTTTTGTGCTGAATCTGATATAGGTTTATCTGATACTTGACGAATTCATTCTTGCTGGAGAGCTCCAAGAAACAAGCAAAAAGGTAAAGTGTTGCCTGTTTATTTTTAGTTGCTCTGATTTTTCTCATTACCTGACTGTCAAAAAACCTGTCAACACAATCTTGTATCTTCCTAGAATAGTAGTGGTTTTCTATGCCTAGCCATAAAACCATATTATGTGCTCTAGTATTAGTTTCCGTAGAATCTTATGTTTTTAGTAGTTGATTTATATGGATTTCGCTAAAATGGTAGTATTTGGTCTAACATTTTAATTACTTTTTGTCCGTTTTCAGGCGATTATTGAAAGAATGGGGGAGCTGGAAAAGCTGGAGTGAAGATAGTGCATGTTAGAGAGCTAAGATTGCAATTTATTTTCCATGACAGAATTTATTATATTGCTGATTTCAGTTTGATTTGTTTTCCCATAGTATATTTGTCTGTATGGTATTGTTGTGATAAATAGAACAAAGAAGAAAAAGATCGAACAGAATTGAGTCCCCTGCATCACTCTTGCATAGTTTTTGAACATTTTCAGAACATCAACCTTCTATAAATAGTGAAATCCACAGAGAATTCATTCTTGTTGATATACTTCTAGACTCAAAAGTTGTTATCTCAATAATTTATTACATTCAGAAAAGGACCAACTTGATAGTAACATCTTTATTTCGGATATCTGTGATGTGAAATGTAACATAATCATCATAGAACCAGCGACAGTGGCTAGGGACACTTGTGCCTGCCACCGTGTGTGGTCATATTGGCATAGCAGGGACAAACGTCGTAGTTGCCCGAAGTACCCGGTGGAACACATTGACAGCGAGCGCAGCAGGTTCCACATGCCCTCTTACACATCTTCTGCCTCGACGATAATTGGCACCGTGCATCACAAGCCACACCACAATCTGCAAGAGAGACTAGGACTTTGGTAAGTAAGCAACAAGAATTAACGCAACAACATGGGTGCAAGTGTTCGAAGCTAGGTCATTTTTACCTATATCATGAGGAAGAGGGTTATTGACCCGAGTAGTGATAACCTGAAGACCGACAATAGCACATATCGACAAGGTTCAGAGAAGTATCAGAAGCAAATAAAGAGCAAATGGAAGACATTGTTTACCATTTGGCCTGATTCCACAAGGAGAATGGCAAAAGAAATGAGAAGCATAGCAAACACAAGAGCTCTAGTAACTGCCATGGCTGAAAACTGGATGGTGTTTCGTATGGAGGGGTTGTCCGAGTTTATAGAGGGCGAATTAAGGAAGAGAATTAATAAAGTGAAGAAATCGAGGAAGTTTGGTAAATCTAGGATGTTCCGTGACTGGTTGTGGTAGGTGTGGTAAAGAAGTTGCTTTGAGTAGTAGGCATGAAGGCGTGTGCGTGAATTACATTGCAACTCTTCTCATCACGCAGCTTTTAAGAATTTTTAGGTTTCATATCTCTTATCTTCACCGTCACGAGGGAGTTAAACTTTTTCAATTTTTTTGAAATTATAGTGCCGTATGGAAGGATTAAGATTTCTGAAAATATGTCTTAATCAATCGAATTATGCTCAAGTCGATAAAAATATGCACTTTGTGGACCAGTAAATTTAAGCTTTATCTTCTGCTCTCATACAAGCGAGAGAGGTTGTTAGTACCGTGATATATAAAACTTTCTGTTGTCTAGCATACTGTAATCTAACTCCTAATCTCGTGCATATATCTTAAATCTTCTCCAATCTCCTTGCTTTCTCCCAATCAAAATTCACTGACAACGTAACTAACATATGAAAGTTTATTGGTTTTGAGTACATAAATCAGAGAAGTGAATGAGTTTTAATTATCAAATCCGTGAACTATACTTTATTTGTTCCACAATTTTCTCCTCTTTTTCAATAGTTAAGATTCAGTTATATATGTCCCTTTCCAAGCTACGTAAACGAACCAAAGCTGGAAAATGATCTGTCCAACTTTACAGTACAAAGCTGCAATATTTGTCAAAACTAGAACATGAGATGCCAAATTTAATATGGTCGGTTCAAAAGCCTTTGTTATCCCTTCCATTAATTCTTTCTATATATTGCACAGAATCAAAAAAATTGACCCACTTCTTCGAAATCCAAGTAACGTACAGAATCTAATGCACAAGAGAGACGAATGATAAATAAAAGACGTCCAAGTTGTAGACTTGATAATTCATATCTCGCGCTATTACATATTCACACAAGAAGAATATAATCTGGATTTCCCAGATTAAATAACATATTTCTTATTTCAAACACTTATGAAACTCGGAATTATTAATTATTATTCACTGAATATGATGCGGGTGGCTGAGATTTTGCATGCAGGAAACATAATTTAGGGACACTTTGGGCGGCCGCCGCGAGTGGTGATGTGGGCGTAGCAAGGGCAGGCGTCATAGCCGCCGGAAGTTCCCGGCGGCACGCAGCTGCAACGTGCACAGCACGTGCCGCATGCCCTCTTGCACAGGTTCGGCCTCGACGATAACTTGCACCTCATCGCACACGCTCCCCCGCAATCTAAGCACACACAAAATATATTTAAATTTTTAGCTCAATTTTAAAAACAAAAACAAAATTTTGAAAACTATATATATACTTTTTAAAAATTTCGATCTAAATTATATAAAAAAAAAATTGGTTAACACATTTATTTTTCTTTTCTTGAGAAATAAGAAGTTAGAAAAACGTTACAAATCCTTCTATTTTACCAATATTTTGAATCTTAGTAGGATCAGCTGTTGTCCCGTTCACCTGCATTCGACAAAACGAAACCCATTTAACATTTTGGTGAGCACAAGAAGAGAATCAAAGTTCAACAGATATTGTTGAGGATTGAAGTTTGATGAAAGATTACCTTTTCATGAGCTCCAACGAAACAAAGAACGAGAAGGGACATGAAAACACAAGTAATTAGAGGTTTAGAAAGTACTGAATTGGCCATCGAAGACGAGGAGAAAATCAAGAGAGAATAGGAAAATAATGGGCGAAAACTCAATATTTTTGAGGACGTAGAATAAAATGAGAAACGAAAACCTCCATATTTATAGTAAATAAAAGTGGTAGTATTACTATTATATGAACAGTAAAGGGAGGTGGTAGGGTGGGTGTGTGGCAATTCACAAAAGTAGAGAAAAATTCTCAAAATTTTCGACGCCGAATGGAATATCCAGGTGTGGTGGGGAAAAGCACTTTCGTCTCTTTCTTTTTAATTAATTAATTGCAGGGTGGGTCTTAGGTCATCTTAAAGAAGATGCCATTTTATGGTCAAATAATATATTAAATGGAAGGGAAAACGCAAATGAAGACGAGAAAAATTGTGATATTAATGAATACCCAAGAACTTTAGGATGAGCTGGAAATTCAATTCCTAAGTAGGAGGGAAATTGCTCTACAGCTGTACACTTGATCATTTATTGAGGAGTAGGTTTGCTTAAACTAAGATTCAATAAAGGCTCTCCATAATCTATATATTGTGCCAACTCCATCAATAATCATGACTAGTGTTGTTGTATAATATAACATAATATAATGTAAATTTTGATATATAGTTTTTTTTGGCGAAGTTTGTATTAGAAGGATGAGATTGTGATAAGATTTTCAAATGAAAACAAATTGTCAACCTAAGTATACTTCAGCTAGTTAATACACTTATTTCTAATTAAAATTGTGAGATCGAATTATACTAAAAAAAATAATATAAGAACACATTTCAATGAGTGTAAACTCAATATGTTATTCATAGGAACAAATTAAAAGAAAACAATTATCAAAAGAATACTTCTTTATTCTAAAAGCAGAAGACAACTCTCAACTAATCCCTTTTAGATTCTATCTATTGATTTGTACTAATTAAAATGCAACAATTGAGTGGAGAAGACTTAATTGAGTAGTTTGGTCGTTTGTTAAAGTTCTCATTCCTACAAAAATCATATACCAGTGTCATTGAGATAACTTGTTTCCTGATTTACCCTTCCAAATTTTGCAAGACGCAATATCACGAAAAAGGATGGAAGAGGGATGGGGTAAGTATCAAAACTACTTCAAACAACACCTCACAACAGTGAATTTTAATAATCAAAGCTCTCTCAGAGTTGTACTGAAAAAATGAACATGAACATCGCTGCCTAGGGAAGGCTTGCATCGAGCTTCACAACCGTCTCAATTCCATATTCCTCCTTGATATGTGGCAAACATACCCGAGGCGACAAAACTGATCCCCTCTCTTGTGCATGCATGCTATCCATTGAATAATGATTCAAAACGAAAATAACATCAAATCGTCAATAACAACTTGGTTCTACAAAACAATCCATAACAAACAGCCCTTTTAAGAGTCCAGAAGAAATTAGACAGAGGCCTTTATTGGTCACAACAATGAGCTAATTGAACTCGTTCGCCAAGGAAAGAGCATTAGGGTTGGTACTTGAAGCCACAAGAAAAATTCGTTCGTTCGAGATAGATATTTCTCTTTGGAACTTGTTAAGTTTATCTCTTTGTTTCAGGTTCAACAGGCAGCAACAAGACCCCGTGATAGAAAAATTAAAATCAGACCTTTCGAGAGAAGATGGTGGAGATCTAGAGTACATAAGAGTAGACCATGATTTTTAAAAAAATTCTACCAACTGCGAGTCTTAGACTTGTGCATCCTTCACATTTCATGTATAAGCATAATTCCAACAACTAAGACCCATATCCTACCTTCCCAATTAGAGCCTAAGACAACCAAGAAAACCTCTCTCATTTTGCATCGTGTGGCTGCAGTTCTGTTGATCTGTTGAAGTTACACCACTCCGGAGGGAAGGCGTAGAACAAGCTGTCCACCAACGAGGCTGCAACCAGATTGGCGTGTTATATTAAGCTCTCGTCAAGGAGTTTGTTTAGAAAATTAAAATTCCATCGATCTATATTGCTCACCTCTTGACATAATAATAACAGAAATCTGCAAGAATGAAAGTCTGAACAATCTCTGATAGGAGAACCATGGATGGCCATAATCCATAACCCAATGCTGTTAACAAACGTCCACGAGTATCCAAGACCTGTAATAATTAAGGAAGCATAAGAATGGGAGCTATTAAAATAAAATGATAAAAAATCTATGAATCCAAGTAGGAGATGAGACTCAGGTTAAATAAACTTACCTGTAGAACCCAATGTGCACAACTCAAGAACCTTGCAACTCCCAAGGCAAATACATAATGTGCCGTAAACGGCTCAACAATCTAGGAAAGAGAATAAACAGAGAAAACTAGTCATTGAAAGCTTTTGAAAAGTATTAGAGAGGAAAACAACAGGACAGACTTGAAATACCATAGATACCAATATTATTTCAGAGCAAGGCAACCTGCAGAATTCAGTCTATAATCTTAGATTTGGTGAAAAAGTTTTCCATACCTTAGTATTTTGCATGACCCGGAGCTGAGGTAATACCGAAACGGCTTCAAGATAAACACAAAATGCCCATGCTATTCTATTTATTATGTTATGCACAGTCGTTGGATGGATCACAAGAGATAGTATAGCACAAGGTATCACCTAAATCAAAAAAAATAAGAAGAATAAATGGGTTACACGAACAGCAAACTCAAGAACCAAATTTCTTATCTCAGAATTTTATCAAATCATCATATTTTGCCATGTTCATTGGGATTCTAAAATATTCATTTTGATTTATCCTACAATGCATGCTTTAATGAGACGGACAGATTGACGGCCAATATTATTTGATATTTCAATACGGATCTAATCAATTTATGCACATGATTGAGATTCACTTATCAAATAATGATTTTGAATCACCAGCAGATTGAATAAATAATGCAACATATCCAAATATCCAAACATTTGGTTATGTAATTCATAAACAAGATTGTACACATTCGCACTCCCAGTTCCAATCTACCAAGCCTGAAATCTGAATAATTGAAAGGAATCTACGCTTGTACATTCCCACATTGAGTCATTGATCCAGCCAAAAGGGATCTATAGCTACTCTAGGCTGAGCTATAATCTAAACGGAATCTAATCTTGTTCAAGTGAGAAAAGGGCTTCTAACTTGACTCTGAAGAGGCCTTGAGTATGATGCATTGACCAGTACAGTAAAAGGTCAAAATGAAAGTGACAATGTACATTCTACATTCATCCAGCCAAATGAAAAAAGGTCAAACTTTCTCCTCAAATCGCATCCAACATATTTCACATTGAAATAAAATCCAAGCAAACGTAACCTATAATTAGGACCTCAAGGTGCAACTTACGTAGCATTTTATCCAATTGAAGAACAAAATGCTGGCATGTTTAACTTGCACCAAAACTCAAACAACGAGCTGCATAGTCTTCAAATATCATTAACGTTTGCTATTCAATAGCAGAACAGATTTCCCACATCATCAACTTTCGAGATAGCTCAAACATTATTATAAGGTAGAAAGGTCATAATCCAACCATTGGTTTGAACTCCACCTCCAAATAGCAAATTCCATATGTTCGAGTTCATGTTTATAAGTACAGATCAACTAGTCCAGGAATTAATTTCCAACAGAAAACGAAGAAACATATGCAGTGAACTCACCACATAGTAAATAGGGAAATTGTCTTTGTCATCCATGTAGCTGGATCTCAGCTTAAATCGAATCATATAAATAACCCACAGCGTCGTTACCAAAGTGGCAGAATCCAGTAGTGTATGTATATCATATTCCATGACAAAACTGCAATAGAGTCTAACAGCTAGAAAAATTGCTGTTAGCTCCTGCGATTTTAGTGAAAGTCCTGCGGAGATTTTCAGGACAATTACAATTAGAAACAGGAGCAAGCATTGAGATCCACAAAAATAGAAAAATTAGAACTGAAATTAATTAGTAAGCCGAGGGGAAAATATTCTAAAATCGTAATACTCAATTTTCTCCGAAGAAGAAAAAAATCGTTCGGATATTCCGGATGAGAAGAACGCAGAATTTGCAAGATTGAATGAACAATACATATGAAATAACAAACAGAAAATAAAAAACGAGGCCTGAATGCACAAAACCCTAGGGCGAATTCCGCATTTCAACGCGATCAACAGAAGAGTCAAAGGGCGGTGATTTAAAAGAAAAAAAAAAAAGAGTGTATGGGGCCTTACCTGCGCAGGTCCTCTCCTTCATGAGTTTGTAAATAAGGACGGAGATTCCGATGGCGTGAACAGCCTCGGCAGCGACGAAAAGATTGTCGTGATCATGAACAACAAAGCGCAAGAAAACAAGAGCAGCCATTCCGGAGACGACGGCGAGAAACGCCTTGATCTTGGGCGGTTGCCGGCGAACCCATGTGGCGACGGCCTGAATCGGCCTCTTGGTTGCCTTCATTACGTGCTTGTGGACGCGCGTGGTAGAAGAGTCAGGTCAGACTCGGAATACGGCTGCGTCTGCGGCTGCGCCTTTGGCCTTTTTCTTAATGGTTTTGCTTTGACGTATGAAGTGAAGATTATAGGCCCGAAATTAAGACCCACGACCCATCCCACGACCCGGCGCCACCGGGATCCCAATGCCAAATCTCGTCACTCCCTTCCTCAGGACACGTGTAATGTAGGTGACCGGGATTTGGTTGTGCTTGCCCCTTTAATAAGTTAGGTTACCAGTTTTTTTCCCCCTTTAGATATAATATTATTAGATTTTTTTCCCAGTTGCCTTCCTGGTTTGATAATTCGTAAAAATAGAAGATAATACTCAATAATGTTTGTTTATAACTATTAAGACAAAAATTCTTCCATTACAGAAATAGGAGTGGTACACAAGACTTTTTTTAAACTAATTTAAAATTAGTCATAGAGTACAACCATAATATTTTTATTCACTTATTTTTATATTTAAAAATATAAATTTTGGATTAACTTTAAATATTATATTCTAATAATGTATAAATATCAGATTTTAAAAAGTTGATAAAATTGGTGATATTAAGGAAAAAAGGAAGTCAATTGATCGATTCAATCAACATCTAATCCATTCATTAATTACATTAAGCAATAAATGCAATAATTATTTAGTTGAATCAGTTCGTGAAAAAATAAAAATTTTGAAGCAACCATTAAAATGCTACATGCTATGTTTAAAACTATATTTGACAAAATTAAATATTTAGAAATAGTTAAAAAGAAATGTTCCGCCAAAAAAAAATTATTTTTAGAAAATACATTTGGGTCCAATGGGCCCATGTAAACATCTGGCCTATTGGGCCCAACAAGTCCTGGTTCTCCACCTCCAGTGAAACGGCCCAAAAGCTAAATCAGACCCAATTCTGGATGAGACACCTCCAGATTCGAGAGTAACATATTTCTTTTTGTTGGCGCATTTCAAGTTTTCAACCATTAGGCCAAAGTCGACCGTTGCCAGTTTTGTTAAAGCAATTTCCCTCTCCAATTCAACGGTCATTTTGGCCATCGTCGAACACTCTCACTCGTTCTCTAGATTCCTGTTGAGTGGATTGAAATGGGAAAGAGTGAAGAATCAAAAGCTTCGATTCAGCGACGAAATTGGGGCAAAATCTTCAATGCTGTGACGCAAATGCTACGGACACAACAAAATCAGCTCGAAACACTCGTCAAAGAGCGAAAACTTCTTGAAGATCGCGTAAGAACGCAGCACGAACGATGGGTTGCTGATATTCGTCTTTACGAGGACCATATCTCTCAGGTTCCTTCTTCTATCTCTGCAATTTAGTGGAATTCTTGGTCTAATCATGGAATTGAAAGTTCCCCCTCTCTACTGAATTTTAGGGTTTCTAATCATTTTAGAACTTGCATCTTGTCTAGATGAAGGATGAGTTATTATTGCGAAATATGGAACGCTCACTTGAAGCCTCGAAATCAGATCTGCTCATGGGAATGAAGCAGACGGAGGTCTATCTCTGCCGACTGAAAATAGGTTCTTATTATTTTTCACTCTTTACCTTTTGAAGTTACAAAGAGTCGGTTAGCGTCGGAAGGAGGAAATTCATGATGCCTCATAGGAGGAAATTCCTCTACAAAATATTTCACTTTCCAAACTAACCACTTCCGGTGGCGCTTTAGCCAAATTTCGAGGAATTTAAGTGAAACGTGACTCTAATAAGTAAATTCAAGTATGCTTGTTTACACTATCATGCTAGCAACAAAGTCACTGTGACAAGAATTTGACCCGAGTAAAGTTCGTTTTCACTTCGCCACTCCTTTGAAAAGTTTGTTCCTATTGAACAATGATGTAAAATAGTTTCCCAAATTCTTGTTTATATTTGCTCGTTATGTAATATGTGCTATACAATTGACAAAATTGGGATTCTCAGATCTGACAATACTATATCGTCTTACCGCTTATGTTTCCCCAATGCAGAACAGTCCGAGATTGAGTTGGAAGACTTCAAATCGTTCTTTGATGATCTCGTCTCTCATAAATGCTCCGATCCACAAGTATGGTTCCAGAACTTCTTTGTTATTCTTGTTAAGAGTATTCAAACTAGTTCTAATCTACTATCTTAGTTACAGGAAAATTATTTAAGAAATGCTTCAGAAACAGCTGAGGCAAATGGTGAAAGAGAGAGTGCTTCAACAGCATATGGAACTACAGATGGAGAGAGGCGTTTTAAGGCATTGGAAGGTGAAGTAAGGAGGTTGAGGCGTGAGTATGAAAAACTTGCCTCGGAAAAGATGTCGGAGGTTTCTGCGTTAGTGGCCGAGAAGAAATTTGTCTGGAACCAGTATAATGTCATGGAAAATGGTTACACAAGTAAATTGAAGAGTAAGCATTCAGAGCTTGAACTTGCAAACCAAAAAATAGAGAAACTTGTAGCCACATTGGAGCAACTACAAACTTCGAGCAATGAGAAGGATGGTATTATTGCAACGTTACGAGACCAAGTGGGAAAGATGGAAACAGACTCAAGTAAATTAAAAGAAGAAGTTTCCAAACTCTCACATGAGTTAGAAGTGCAAAGGAAGTCTATGAATGCAAATGCTACCCCTGTGCTGAACCAGTGCACAGCAGGAACTAGGCCATCTAGTTTGGGAGGCAAGAACTGTAAGAAGAACAGAAGTAACGTCACTATCAACAAAGACATGTCTTCTGCGCAAACTTCTCTTTCGGTAAATAGACTATGATGATGATACTATGTTTTTTGGATTGTTTATAGAATGGTTCTGATTTGGAACATTTTCATCATTTGTGGTCAACCTCGTGTGTTTATATTGAAAATTGAATACCTTGGGTTGATGTCCGTTTAGCCTGGTGATTTAGTTTCAAAACCTGAAGCATTTTAAACTTTTCACTGTGGGCAGGGAAATCGAAAAAGAAGAGGAGATGATGTTATTTCGAATCCAGGGACTCCAAGGTTGTTTACATCTAATTTCAAAGTCCCTAAACTGAAGAATGAAATCAATTTGTAGATTGCCAAATAAACTGTAATATGGTCTCAATTACCATCGGCTTATTGGGTTGTATTTTCTTTCAGTTGTGTATTGATAGCAGTGTATTCTTGTTGTAGCTGAAAATAGTAGCTTCAGTCATTATCCCATGTAATCTATCTAATTTAGAAATTATAATCTCTGCTTTAGGAAACTTCTCTGGGAATATCAGCATGTTTATATAATTCATCAGCCTGCACTTTTTATATGTTACACAAAACTGAACTATTAGTTACATCATACTTGTGCATCATTTCAAAATACTTCCTCCTATGCTATTCTATGATACACTTAGGTTCTGCAGTGGCGTTTGACATTTAAGATGGGGGCGACCACTTGGAGCGGAAGTAAGGGCGGTTCCATAGCAATATCAGCAGCAGAAACAGCAACACCGCCACGCCCCAAGGCGAGGTCTTTTCGGCCTCCCGAACCGACCTGGTCGTAGTTCTCACTGAAGCAGGCCCAACAACCGTACCATACACGGCCATGGAATTTACAACAAAGATCAGCAATAATATCAAAGCAAAAAGGAACAACTTGAAGTCGAACACGGTTTTCGTCTGCAACGACAGCAGAAGGACGACGACACCGAAAAAGGCGAGCAGCGGCATCGGCGGGAGAGACATGGAGGTCATCGTTCTCTCTGCCCATCCATACTTCCACTCTGGACCTCTTTCCCCCACCATCCAACTCATGATCTTCTCAGTTTAGAAGCTTTTCTCTTCCTCTTTGGTGTAAGTATCTGCAAAACAAGACACACAGAACATGAAAATATGCATAATACGGTGGGATGGGGGAGGCTTTAGCTTTGTAAGCAAACACACAACCGACTTCCTTTCCCATAACCAAAGACCTTCTTGGAAGATTTGATCTGATATGTTTCAGACAGCAATGGATAAAATATAAGAAGGCGGCGGTTAGTTCTGTTTTGTGTTTGTTGTTTTGTGTTCAGAACTGGACACATGGTGGCCATGCAATGGACTTGAGGAAACTCGGGGATTTTGGGACAGTGATCTTATATAATTATTTGAGTTATGACGTTACCGCCTGCCTCTCTCGCCAAAATTAGGAGAATTAGATTTATGGCACGTATAGAAGTGATTTTGGTATACCAAAAATCGAGAAGGGGATTAAATCTCTAATTAAGATGACTTGACATACTAACTTATTTTTTCAATTGCATATATGAAGTTTTAATTATAAAAACTAAACTATTTCCTTCTAAATAAATATATTATTTTTATTATAGGGACTAAAGAGGCTTCTGAATAAGATATTCTATCTTTTCCTCTCGGGTAATGGATCTAATTCCAACCTTCTATTTGTGTGAGGGATGAAAATTAAATTTGCAAGAAGACAAATGAAAGCTTAAATTTGTAACTTCGTGAATTATGGAAATTTTAAGCTTAAGATGTATTCTAGTAGTCATTTCGAACATAATTCATTTGATAATGGACCTTTTACCTTCTATGGATTGAAAAGTTAATCTCCTACCTTTTTTTTTTTTATTTTGTCGAGTTAAATTAAAGTATTATTTTTTATTTTTAGTACGATGTGAGATCGAACTCACAACATACCCTCAGTTATGATCAATTTGGCTAAAGTATTCTACTTGTTTGTTCCATTCACTTGAAATTATCCGTAGTTAGTTCAATTGATATGTGATAAGAACTAAATATCGCAGAGATTTATTGTAGTTAAAAAAAAGAAAAGTTAAAGAAAATAATTTAAATTGAAATTTGTAATTAAAGCTAAAATCTAACTTTGCAGGGCACCAATCAGTCATCCCCCAAAATCAAAGTCGGATGCCTCGCGGGTTTTGAAGTGCTTTCCCCTCTTATTTTCATCCAAATTTTTGAAAACGCATTACTTTCCTGTCGTTCTCTTGAGTCACAGATTCAGAGGAACCGTCATATTTCCTCGCAAAATCCCTTGTTTTCCCCCGAACAGTTTCAGTAGGTAGAATGTCTTCGGAGGATCAAAAGCCGATAAAGAAATCCAAAGTGGAGCTCGACGAAATGGAGGACGGAATGAGCCTCGGCTCCATTTTCCAAGCCAAAAAGAAGAAACTCTCAAATGGGGGCTCTAAACCTCTCTCAAATTTGAAGAAGGAAGAACTGCAGGGAGAAGATGGAGTGGGAAAATCTCCGAAAATGGGTTCTGGGTCTGTCCCAAAGGGCACCAAGGTCAAAAAAGAAGAGCGTTTCAACTCTTCCGATGATGATTACGACGAAACACCTAGCAAAAAGAGCTCTGCGGCAAAACGTGATATGGTTCACTTCATACATCTTTCTATTTTTCTTTCTCGCATTATCAACTGTGTTCCATGCTTTAATTTCTTCTACTTTTTCCATCATTGTTTCGATTACTGAGTAACTGAAAGTAGAGAAATGGGTATACTTATTTGAATAGCCCTGGAGATTTTAAGCAATGTGCTTCTCTAGCATTCAGAAATCAGAAGTTTAATCTTTGTTAGAAACTCCATCCTGTACAAACTTTCTAGTGCACAAATTTGGCTTCAAAATGCTACATTCTCTTTATCATATACATTGAAGGTCATTAACATGTGATGCGTTTTCTGAATGGACTGTGGAGACAGGAACCGAAGAAGAAGAAGAAAGTGAAGGAGGAGGAGAAGAGCAAGACATCCAAGGCGAAGCAGGAGAGCCAGAAAAAAGAGAGAAGGGAGAAGAAGGTATATGATTTGCCTGGTCAGAAGCGAGATCCCCCTGAAGAGGTATTAGACAATGTTCCTGTTTCATGCTAATTTTGGTGGGCGTCAGTTCTCTGTTTGAGAGATCTTTAGCTGATGGTCTTCCTGTCTTCTTGGTTACTCAGAGAGACCCGCTTAGGATCTTTTACGAAACTCTCCATAAGCAACTTCCCCACAGTGAAATGGCACAGTTCTGGTAAGAAAATTGCTTCTACATGCTACTTCAATTGTACTGTTGTCTTTGCAATCACGTTGCCTTAGCATCTGGAAGCAGGCATGAGTAGTTTTAATCCCTTGAAGATATTTTATTATGCTTGAAATTACTGTTCACTTTATGTGTTTTAAGAACGAAGATGTTTGTTTTAGCATTCGGGGTCAGGTTTCCAAGAATCCTCTGGTAGAACATGTTTACTGGTTGAGTTCCCTATTTGCAAATAGAGATTTAAATACTAATCCTGTCATCTACTTGTTTACAAGTTTTCATTAATGAAACAAAATTGATGGCTAGTAGGCATGAAAGATGCACAAGTAGTTGTGTTCATGGCCTGAATTTTGTGTTTGGTTCGGGTTTAGGTGTTACCCAACATAAGATTTGTAACTTTCTATCTTCCATAAAGTAGACGATTATCAAACATGGTCTTTAACAACAAGGAATTAACAATGTTACTTGGAGTAGTGACAAGTTCGGATAGTTTTTATTGTTCGTATATAGCCAAAGCCATCTCATAATTGGGAAAGTGCACAACGTATTGTGCATTCTTCGGATTGACTTTTTTCGGTTTTTACTTCAGTGTGGAATGTTATTTCTGTCATGTAGCTTCAATTATATAGATATGAGTGGAGACTAGATTAAGATGCACAGATGTACACTCATCGTTAACCACTCTCGTCCTTTCTCCCTTCACTTGTTTATGGTATAGAGAGTTCCCTATTTTCTGTTTGCTATGGCTGCCAACATAGTTAGCAATCTGCAGTCCATTCTATTATCCTTCTTGGAAGTTTTGTGTAGAAATTCTGCTTGAATAGAGTAGAGATCAATTTAAAGTGGCCTTTACTCTCTAATTTACAACCTCATCTGTTACATCTTTAGTAAGTCCCTGAATCTCCCTACAATAAGTTTTGCAGATAATGTCAATCTTAGGCTAAACAAAATAGTTTGCAGTATCTTATCATGCTGTTTACAAGCGTTAGATATAAATCTGTGTCGGTTTTTCCTAAGGTAACTATGGAATGAGATTAATTTGTGGTTGGATGGATGAGGCTGCAGGATGATGGAGTCTGGTTTGTTATCCAAAGAAGAAGCAAAGAAAGTTTTTGAAAAGAAGCAGAAGAAGGCACCACTGCAAAAGTTGAGTTCCCCAGTGAAGGCTGTGACTGCTGTAAAGAGCGTCACAAAGACCGCCATTGTCAAGAAAACTGTCCAATCCTCACCACTTTCTTCGAATAAAAAGACAACGGTCGACTCCAAAGTCATGACAAAACAGTCGAAGAAGCGCAAGTCGAAAGATGAAAGTTCTGAAGATGAATCAGACGACGACTTTATAATCAGTCGAAGCGTGAAAAAGAAACCGAGAGCAGCCTAATTGATGTGTAAATGGACAATCCCTTCTTCAGAAACTTGTTTTAGATCTCTGATTAGTTATACCAAAACATTGGTTTTAATGATATTGACACTCCTTTGGTCCTTTTTTCTCCTGTGTACTGTTTGCATATTTTCATTTTTCATGATGATTATAATTCTTATTTTCTGATACCTGGCCTCACTTCCAAATTTGTGTGGGGGCAATTTACAAAATGGAAGACCCTGAAATATAAAGTGGGAATCAAACCCTGCCGAATTAAGGCATTTACCTACAATGTTGAAACTTGGTAAATTTCAAGTTTAAATATTAGTTTGGTACACTTAGTGTACTTTCAAAAAAAAAACATTTATTTTTGTCATGTACTCTTAAATTTGGTTTGTTTTACTTCTATACGGTCAAAACAAAAAAAATGTAATTTATTTTTCCATATGAGTTCTTAGTTTATTGCATTGTGAAGAAATATGATAATTATGTTCTTTTAGTATTAACATATGAAGAAGGAAAAACGCCCACCGTGGGGCTCGAACCCACGACCACAAGGTTAAGAGCCTTGCGCTCTACCAACTGAGCTAGACGGGCAATTGATTAAATAATCTCATATCTAATATTTATTATTATAATAATAACATAGGTATAACATATGGATGAATAATGAGGTTAAATTACATTCTTGATATAAATTAAAACTAGTCCACATTTTAAAATAAGTATTAATCAATATAGGATTTAATGAAATTAGTTTGAGGACTAAATTTGAGATTTTTCAATAGTTAGAAAAATCAAAATGAAAATAAAAAAACAAATTTTCTGATGGACCAAATGACTAAAAGAGCAACAAAATAATAATAATAATAATAATAAAGTTTTAAAAATTTTGGAGATTAAAAAAATTGTTAGTGTGTTTCGAGTATTTTAATAAAATTTCAAAAAGCTGTGAAACATTTGAAATGCTTCGAAAGACAGCGCCATTCAGTTTTTAAAATTTAAATTCAATTTAATTTAATTTACGCCAAAAAAAATCAAGATATTACCCGTCTTATCTTCTCTCTTTTTTGAAACCTACTAGGCATCTAATCTTACTATATGGTTAAGATTATCTATCGGTGAGTCATAAAATTCAGTACTACTATTTTCAATTACAGTTGGCAGGTTAAAAAACTAATTTAATTTACTTTATGAATATTCTTTTTTTATAGTTTTGCCCTTTTAAAAATGAATTTTCTAAAATTTCATATTTTTTCCGAAAAATTGGAAGGGTAAGTGTCATAATTTTCTCTATCTTTTAAAATATTGGTAACTAAACATATAATTCGAGCTTCAAAACTATGAACTTTCGATCCTAAGTAAGAAATTTATATACACGTCCAGTCTAATTTTAAAACAAAGCAACAATAATAATAGTCTAATTTATTCTATTCTCCCGAGTTTACTCTCTTTAATAAGTCTAATTATACTTCTATTTTTGTATAAATGACAATTAAATATTTAAATTGATCTTTTGAACTAAAATAAACGAGATTTTATTTTTACCCAATTCACTCCTTTATCTATTCATAACTCCTCCTTTGAAGAATATTTTTTTGACCAGGCTCATGTTAGCGACACTTTTCCAAGTAGAACTAGGACAAATATTCCAACTGGAACTAGGAAAATTCCTATATATATATATATATATTTGATGATACGATGACAATTTTATTATAGAGGCAAGGGAAATATCCAATTATTTGAAAAAAGTTATAGAATTAATTTAGAGGAAGGAGAAAAGAAAAGATGAATATTATTGATATTGATAATATTGATGATGTTGTTGGTGGTTTCACTGCGGATGAGTACGAGGTCGCCGACATCTTGGTCAACTTTCCTGCTTTAATATTCGACGGCGAGACTCGCCGGAATCGTCGGAAGCCCCCATTGTATTGGGGCGACAAGAAAATTAGATCTCCTCCGGCTCCGGTGGATAAATTACAGCTTCTTCACGATTCTACTCCACCGCCTTCGCTGGAAAATATGGCGGTGGACGCTCCTCCGACCACCGCAACAGGCTACGATCCCACCGGTTTGGCTCCTCCGCCCTTACCGCCCACTCAACCAGACCGGAAAGGACCCGAACGTTCGGATTCGAAGGCTAAAAGGGTAATCTCTCTTTCTCTTTCTCTCTCCTCTGGCTTTTGGTCATTAGGGTTTTGCTCACCACTGTTAAACTAATTTCTTTGTTGGTAGAAGGAAGAGTTGTTGCAGGAAATTCACGATCTCACCCACCACCAAAAATTAATGGAAACGGTGGGGGGTTTTTTTTTTTCCTTGTCCTCTGAGAAAAACATGATTGTATTTGATGATTATATCTGGTTCTTTATTTTTTTTCATTAAAAAAAAAAGACAAAAAAACTTATTTTTGTTGGAAATGGAGCATGAAACAGAATCTCGTTTTCATTTTATTTCTAAAATTTTTATACAATTTTAGAAAATTTTCTTGAGAGGATAGAACAAACTTTGGATGTCTAGAAAAATACAGCCAAGCTATGTTACCCCTTTTTTATTCAGTTTAACTATACCCACCATTAGATTCAGAATTAAAAGGTGGAATACTATTTCCAACCCAATGCAGAAGAGGGTAGAACAAGCTGACTAATAATTTTACACGGAAGAAAAATTAAAATCTGTATTTAAAATTTTCTTTAATAAACAGATATCCTTTTTTTTTTTCTTTTTTTTCTTTTTGGGGTGTTCTTATTGGTTTAACAAAATTTCCGTATGGGTCTCAAAATCCAAACAGAAACTGGAGAATTTGAGGCTTTATCGTGATAAAGCAAGAGAGCAGAAGGTATATGCGAGTTTTTTTTTTAATACATTAATATTCTTTCTATCGATATTCATCATTTCTTCAAATTGATTAGAAATAAGAGAATTAGCTTTATAAATTTTTGAAACTAGAATTCTTAGCACTCTCTTTTCTAATCTATTAATTAAAAATAAACTAAAATATATCAACATATTATTTTTGTGGTGGTCCACAGTTTATAAGTCGTGATATGAGAAGAGAAGAGGTGAATTTGACAATTGGATTAACAAGTTCAAATCCGCCGGTGGAAACAATCTCCAATGATCACTGCCACAGTCGGATCGTCAATCTTGATCCGATGGCGTCTCAAAGATCACAAAGGGAAGAGTTGCATTTGACGATTGGACTAGCAAGTTCAAATCCGCCGGTGGAAACAATCTCCGATGATCAGTACCGGATCCCGATCGTCAATGTTAATCACACGGCGGCTCAAAGATCGCAAATGTCACCGGTTATCCCCGATCTGAACGAAACTATTTGGCCGGAGAATAATAATGGAGCATTTGATGATCAGGCAGATTTTGGAAGCAATCGAATGACTATGGTGTACGAGGCGGCAGTGGCGAGACTGAGAAGGAGGCAGATCAACAAGATGAAGAAGTCCCGAGTTCCTCGTTTCTCTAGATAATACTTAAAGTACCAACTTAGAAAAATTCTCCTTCTTCTCTCTTTTTATGCATTTTCTTGCGTAATTGTTTTGGTTTCTCTCTACCATGACTAAGAGACCAAACTTAAACATAAATCTTATAATGTAATTAACCTTGCGGGAAATCAAATGTTTGAATCCCTGTCCACTATTGCTGTTGGATGTTGGAAGCGTAGGATCGACGGTCACAAATTTATAATTAACAAGATTCGTTTGAGAAGGAACAACTTCTTGTATTGAAAATTTCTCACGTTTATAAACTATCTCAAACTCTCTTGTTTTTCTTCTCTACACGCTTGCTTGAAATACATTTAAAGACCATCCTAAGTTCATGGAAAAATCTAGATTCCTACCATACATCTCATCCATGAATCCACACATTCATGAACCCAATTATCCATATTAAAATGTTAAATATATGAACATACAACTAAATATCAGTTTATGTACATGGATCATGTACTTATTAAGAATGGTACATGTTTAATTTTCAACATATACTAAAAAGACGTGGCTAAATGGAAGCCTGCTTTGATGGGGGAATTTGAGTTTGGGTTTGTGTTTAAATATTATTGTTAAGAAATATCTTTAAATATAGGTGAAGTTTATAGAAAGTTAGTGATTGATTTTATATAAGAAGATATCAGCCTTCAAGGATCTAAAATATTGAAACCAATCATGTGAGTAGAAGGAATTCTTTGCACTAAGTACTTATCCAAACTCGAGTTGATATTTTTTCCTCAAATCTCTTGAGAATGATTTTTTTTTTGCTGATAATATTTAATGCATGCGAAGATACTACAAATAGAGTTGTAAATAATAAACTGTTTTTCACCAATTAAGCTAAATTCACACAGGTATGTAAAGTTTTTCAAAACATATTAATTTTCTTTCCATAATCGAGTGGTCCAAACACGCATTGATGTCTTCTGCAAAGTACTATATTTTAACTAGGTGCTTATAATAAAATACTTTAGTTAAAATTAAGCATATGAAATAGCTGAGCATAGTGTGAACTGTGAAGACAGAATCCCGAAAATTTGTTTTGTTTTTGCATATTTTGGTAATTGGGAGGTAATTACAGTTGATTTAATTGCACACCAGCAACACCTCATCAATGAACTTCAAAATCTATGGACAAGAGGGATAGTGCAGGATTTCTCTATTATCTTTGGATCTGGAAATGAAGCTGCCAAGATTGTGGATTAAAGAAGCCCCTTTTGAGTTCAGAGAGATATTTGCTCTGATTGTGTTAAGTAGTTTCCTGTTTCCTAAAATTTCGTTTTAGGTTTTCTTTAAAAAAAAAAAAAAAATTAAATGATATTGATGCAACTGGAGAAAAGATTCAATAATTATTAAATGATATTGATGCAAGTGGAGTCTGTTTAACGGTGTGAAGTAGTAAATTCCTCTACCAAATTTTTTTCATAAATTTTATGTATTTCTCTTTCGTCTAAATCCTTCAAAGATCTTTTTTTTACCCACCACTCGTGTGTATTTTTCTATTTGTTATTATTAAAAAATTGTATAATTAATTGTTTCATGTTTTCTTGCTTCTTTATGTACTCATCAATTTGAGTCATCAATTTTCAAGAGTGTTAATAAGTCGAAAATAACTGTTTATTGAACTTCAATTTTATCCAAATACAATAATGGTCTTTTTCCTCTTAGAGAGGTTTTTCTTTTGGAGAGAACTCATCAAATAGAATTAGAGAGTTATTGAAAAATCGATGTGTGCAAATTTGATGGTGTAGTTTTTTGAATAATAAGTTCAATTTTGTTAATGTGATCATTGCAATAAGATGTGCTTCAAAATAATAATAATAAATAAAAGAGGTTTTGCAATTTGTCTAAAAAGACAATGAGCTAAGGCCTAAGGTAGGTTTTTTATTTTCTTTTTTTTTAAAGAAGAAACTGAGAAAGAAAATTAAAATTTACCAATCTCATCAAATTACATCTTAAATTTAGAAAAATGTCAGCAATATTTACGTTAAACTTGAAAAATTTTGCAAACTTTACCTTCTAATAAGTTTCTCTTTTTCACCTTTTAATAAATTTTCATTTGAATGATAGTAAAAAAATGCATTTCCATATATGAATTATGGATTTTAGAGAAATCTATATTAGTGTTGAATTTTTATTGAACAGAGTTATTCAATGGCTAATTTGATGGATTAATCAACTTTAATCTAAATTTGTGAATTTTCAAAATAAATAAATAAATAACAAAGGAAAGGAACTTCCAAGCTCATAAAAAAGAATCTGGACCGTCGATTTCCGTCAAACAGAATGGTGGAATTAAGCGTAGTTCAACACCTTGGGCCTGAGTTAAGTTGGGCCGGGCCGGGCTAGGGGTGTGGAAATGAAACCCTAGCTCTGCTGTCCTTTCACTCTTATTTATATGGTATGGCTTCGGAAAATCACCGTAGTATTCAACTCTCTCCCTTTCTCTCTGTTAATTTCTGTGTGTTTGGCATTATTATTATTATTTATTAAATTGCAAGTGGGCAAAAAAGCGGCGAACAGATGATGATTCTTTAATTATGAACAAGAGCTTGCAATTATTATTTCAATTGTTCAAGCAATGCTCAAAATACTTCCATGACTCTGATGTCGCAAAGCTTTTGCCCATTCTCACTTTCTCTCCAATTTTCTTCGCTCGTTCTTCATTTTTCACAGTTCTCCTGCGATAATTTTCTGATCGGATTTCTTTCTTCTTCTTTTTTACCTTCACAGATCATATTGTTTTCTGAATTTCATTGTAATTTGATTGCGAATTTCTAGTTCTTTTTTTTCTTGTACATGCGTTTCTGAAATTTTAATCCGTTGTTTATGTTCTTTGTTCTTCTTTTACTGTGATCGTAATTTCGCAGGTCTTTCGATTCGTCTCCATCTTTATGCTTTTCTTTTTCTAATATTTATCCTATAATTATTTGTTGATTGTTGATTTACATGCTTGCTTTTTTTTTTNTCAAGATTTGATCGCGAATCTCGTCTTTTCTTTGTACTTGCGTTTCTGGAATTTTACTTGGAGATCATAATTTATCTGTATGATTCTTTTACAAAGATTTCCCCTCTACTAATTTTCTGATGGCCGATTACATCTTCCTTCTCTTATTATTCCTTTTTCTTCCGAAATCATATGTATTAAATTTCATCAAAATTTGATCGTGATTCCCGAATCTCGTCTTTTCCTTGAACCTCGTTTCTGGAATTTTACCGAGCTGTCTGTAGTCTCCTTTTACTGAAATCGTAATTGCGAAGTTTTTTCGATTCGTCTTTATCTATATGATTTTTTTACAGAGATTTCTCCTATACTAATTTGCAGATTGTCCATTACATGCTCCCTTCCTCTTTTCTTTTCTTTTTTTTTTTGTTTTTTGTTTTTTAATTTTTTAGTTTTTTTTTTTGTTATCATCATCATTATTATTATTTTCTTTATGTGAATTACATCTAAATTTGATCGCCAATCTCGTCTTTCCGTTTACTTCCGTTTCGGAAATTTGTTCGGGTGTTTATATATTTTTAACGAGATCATGATTAATTTGATTACTGTAATTTAAATAATTTCTAGCAAAAGTGTGCATGTTATTTTGATTATATATTTTTTTATATCGATACTTAATTTCTAAACTTTTATTAGAAAATTAATTAACTTTTTATATATTTAAATTATAAATTATACTTAGGTACGCTTTAAATTATTTGACAAGAGATTAGAGAGACAATTTTTACAACCAAAAGGGTAACAATTATAATACCACGTTCCGAAAGAAAAATTGTTATAACAAAATATTGAATAAAATGTTAATCAGAAATTAATATAAAAGTAAGAAAATAAGATTAATGAAACTTGTTTAAAAGAATTACAAACATTAATTAATTGTTCTGCTCTAAAACTTTTTAAAAGAAGTTTTGCACAAAAATGGCTGAAGTTTTTGCTAATTTTGAAATGAAAGGTGAGTGAAAAGATGGATAAAAATAAAGACGTGAATTCTAAATAATAAAATTGTGAAAAGCTATCAGCAAGAGGTGCTAGATTTTTATAATCGTTTCTTTTTCTCTGGGGAATTTTAGAAGAAACTGCTTATAGAAATATTAAAATATTAAAATATTATTTTAAATATCGAAAATTATGAAAATATAATAGACTATTTTATTTTAGTAATTTAAACCAAATTCTTTCTGTGAACAAAAAATAATATCAATAAACCAAAATTTCAAATAAACTAGTTCACTGTATCAAAAATTTCAGCAACATTTTTTTGAATGAATAATAATATGATATAATGATAGCAAAAATTTTACGTGCACTCTATTTCCATACGCCTGTGAATATTGTAATTAATATGTTCATTACCTCTACCTATAGTAGTAATAATAATAAATTCCAATAAGCCAAATTTAATTTAAAATTTAAATTTCAAGAAGGTTGTTTTTCTTTTAAGAGATCACACTATTTTACACTTCAATATGATCTGAATAAAAGCTTATGCATTGTTAAAAAAAAGCTTATATATACAATGACAATTTATTAAGATATTAATCGGAAATTGAATTCTAATGAATATGACATAATAAATAAAAGTAATAGCTTCTAATTTGTTTAAACTTAATTTGAACAATTTCCGCTATAGTTTAATTTATTTAAGTTTTTTTTTTCTTTTTATAAAGAATGTCATAATGATTGTCTATTTAGTTTGTTTAAGTTCAAATTACTAACCAAAAGGAGGCTGCCAAGAATTAAAATGAAAGTTCAAAAAGACAGCTAAAACTTCAACAGTTCGAGACAACCATCGACATTCATTCAATACCCAAATTTGCAATTTAACCTCTCTTTTTTTTTCTCTCCCTATTTTGGACCACATTCAAATAATCCAATCCTAAAAGAAAGAACTTCAAGCTAACATACAATTCAATTATTTTTTCCAATCCAGAGTACATAACTCACTCGAAGGTACAATCCCTACCCCACATTTAACTCAAATAGGAAGCAAAAAAATTGATTGTCTTCCAATTCCAAAGAGATCAGATCAATACCCAGCCAAAAGCCATGGACAGGGTCATCCTTTGTTTCGGGATTCGACTTTTAAATTTTAAAAGTTATCTCCAGTTCTTGATAGTTTACCTTTGAATCATCCTCCTCTTCAGTTGAGGAATCAGATAAGACCCCAGGGGGTGGCAAAATCAATCTTAGAAACCAAAAATTTAAAACTACTCTAGTCTACCAACTATACATAACTTGACTGTTATATAGTGGGGAATATCGACCACAATTTTCATAAACCCAATCATTGAAGTTGAGACTCAGTGCAGTACCTCTTGAAGCTCAAAGCCTCATCAGCCAGAAACTCACTGTTAACATTGAATCAAAACGGTATATTCACAATCAAGAAGCGACATATGTGACTTTGGAAAAACAAGAGAGAAACAACTTACAAGATCCGCTCAGCCATTAGGGATGGCTCCCACCTTGGACTCCAAGGATAGTCGGTAATAACATGCGACTTGATAGGTGCACCTTGGGAGTTGAAATGCTAAACAGTATATCAACGTTAATTAGAAAGATGGTACCAAATCAATAATCCGAGAGTAGATGTGGATCTTTATAAAACCAAGTTGCCCTGTCAAACATTTATGATTTACTACAAAGAGGCTATCTCAGCAATGCCAGTCTTCTTCATATTGAACAGAAAAATCCTTGAAAACTAGAGGCATACAAAGTGCACCTATCATGTCATTCAATCTTATAAATATCAATTTACCAAGATTCCTTATCAACATATTTATGATAATTAATCACAATGTACAAAGCCTAGAAAAACATAAACGAGAACGGAGTCTGCACTAATTCTGCCAAATCTATAAAGAAGAGTTTGCCTTGGTACTACTTAAAATACCATGCATTGAGCATAGTAAGTAGTAAAATCTTTTTTTAAAATACCAAAAGTTGCTCCAGTAAAGATCATATCAATCAGTGTACCAGCAGATGGCCTTTGAACGACCACAGGAGACACATATTGATGTAAAACAAACAGAGAAACACATATCTATGGTTCATATCATATCTAGTAAGCAAAGTTGGTATATATATACAAGAATTTTCAATATTCAAGACAAATTTACATTACCTGAGAACTTTGCAGCATCAGAGAAGGCTGCTTCTTTGGAAATTGAGTTGAAATGAAGAAATGGACCTAGCATTAACAAGAAATTCCCGAGAACACAAGGGAGGGAAAAAGAAGAAAAGAAAACTTTCCATATTTAAAACCTTAAAAGTTGCAAAAGAAGTAATAAAAGACAATAGATGCAACGTTGTCTCAAGTCTAAATTCAAATATGTTGTCCATCAATGAACACAAATTGCATTACATACCTGCCCTCCTATATCTTCAATGAGAGAAGGCATTTCTTTAGCTCAAAAATCAAAATTTTGCTTTTCAAACCAGAAAAAAAGAGCTTCTAAAAAAGATGCATTCAGCAGGGAGAACAGCTGGCCAAACTCTAGTAAAAAGAATTAAAATTGACATCATGACTTGGTCAAGGGTCATCTATGGTTCTGGGTCCTCAGTGGTGTATTTCATGCAAAAGAACATTGAAAGAATGACATCATGTTTTGTGGAGATGCCACCACATTGTGATGATTTGGGAAGATTTCTCAGTGGTGAGTTTCAACAATCCAAGTAGAGGTTGTTGGGATGCAATGGGGAGGTAGTCAGCTCTCCAACGGACAGTGTTCTTTGTTATTAAACGGAAAATCTGATTGGAGAGAAAGAGGAGAATCTTAAAGTTTAGAGTGTGGTTGTCCCCAATACCTCTAGTTGGATGTTCTCTACAAAGTTGATTTCATTTTTCTTTTTTAAATTATCCATTGTTTTTTATTCATAAGAACTGGAGCATCTTCCTCTAATTGTTTTGTTTTTGTTGTTCAGGGATCCTTAGAAGGCTTCTCTCTAAAAAGGAAAAACTGAGGGCTACTTTTGTCAACACTAGACTCTGGAATATTATACCAGATATTATGGGCGGTGATCATCTCCAAAAAGGTAATATCATTACATCTGAATCTCTACAGACCAGGGTATAAATCCTAACAGCTGCAGATTTTTATGACAATTCAAGATGGAGAAGCAGTTATTCTTATGCAGACTAAAGAAACCAATCAAAAGCAATCACCAGAATAAAGTAATCATTACATGAACAATATTTCATAATAAATAACTGAAAAACTCCTGATAGTGATGGGGTGCTTTAATTATAGAGAAGATCACTTAATACCAGGAATGTGAACACCCCAGAGGCAGTGATAATTGTAGCCGTTCGGCAAAAGACCTGAAAACAAAGAAATTCATGCCACTAGTAAGATGTGATGAGCCCCTTTTTCTCTTAGCTTATATTAGAGTTGGATGTAATGACTTGAAGAAGAAGAAGATGGAGGTAAATAAATTTGTAAGAATCCCACCGGGTCAGCTTCTAAAGGCCTTCCAAAGAAAGATTCCAATGCCTCTATAAAGCCTCGCCTAACATCAATCAATGAAACTGCCTCCATAACCTTCATCAGTATGATAAAAGAGTGAATTTTTTATTTTAGGAAACTTCCAAAGTCAAGACCCAGTTATCAACCCAGAGAGTATCATCTGACTGATTAAAATGTAAACCTGTTTGTCAAGACCCTCTTCTAGATGGGGAAGATATTCAGCCATGCACCTTGAAATCAGTTAAAAAAAATGATATCACTTTTAGCACCTAATCCTGACAGCCATAAGAATAAAAAGGAGGGAGATATAAGAGAAAGAGAGAGTATCCTACATTCCATCTATCCATGTAGGAAGTTTGATGTCCTCTATGGATAACAGAGCCTTCAACTCAGAGGTAGAGACCAATTTCAGACGAGGTGCAGCAGGAGTAGATGCATATTTTCTCACCACAGGATATAAAACCTATAAACAATGATGTGAATGGGAAGGAAAATAGAAACAGGAAGACCAGGAGTTCAAAGAGACAGAAAAGTAAAAGGCAACCTGCAAGAATATCTTCTGTGGATGCGTCCATGGGCATCCAGGTATCATCTTATTAATATTAATGTCTACTAGCGGCACAGCAAATTTGACCTCCTCTGGCTATACTAAAATTCAAAGGCATCGAAGCCACATGTATGAGTAAAGAGCTCAAAAATAGAGTCCCTAGTGTTCAACTCTTTACTAATATCCAAGCAAAGTACAACCTTATACTTTAAATTACTACCTTTTCAACACCTGAACTCAAATGCATTTCAATTCCCTGCAAAAAGGTATAATGCATTATTTTTGGTTTTTAATTACCATCGAAAATAAGAGAATCTCAAGGAGAATCATAGGTATCACATATCAGTACAAGGAACAACTTGCCTAGCTAAAGGAATACATGGCTGTATGCAAAAAAACATACTGAGGAGAGGACAGTTAAACTTCCATACTAATATTAAATATAATTCAAGCGTGAAGGATTTGGAATAGTTAACTAGTAACAATTGATCATTTAGCTTCTGAATTGATTACCAGTTCGGAGTTAGGACAGTATAACAAACGTTATAATGAAAAACATTACCTCCCTAGATACCATAGTACTAAGTTCAAACTTCAATCTTTCATCATCAACTCCTTCAACACGCTTCCTTTGGTATGACACATATCGATCCCTTCAAAAAAGTAAAGTTGCCTTTAAATTCAAGGTGAGTTATACCCAAGGCTTGCAAAAGAAGGCAACATCACATGAAAGCCGTGAAAAACCTCAATTCTTGAACAAGGCTCGTGAGCCGAGATGGATCTTTGCTGTTCCAGTCATGTAGACCGTTTTGTGATGACTTATAATCTCCTTCTCCTTCATGAACCTTACTTGTAAACGGATGAAAATTTTCATCTTCTGGTCCAAATACAATATCAGGTGCAGAAAATGGTGATTCAGCATTGTATATGATGTCCCCTACGATAGGTAAAAGCTATCAAACAGCAAGCTACGGTGAACCTATGAAGCTCAAGCATTTAGGACAAGGGAAAGGAGAATTGAAAGGACATTATGAGAAATAAATGGAAAACCGGTCTTACATTTGACGAATTCAAGGCAGTACGGTATGACTAAGGTGAACCTATCAATAATTCCAGGGTAGTTCATACTGCCAGACCACATGTGCTCAATCTGAATACCAAATCAGATAAAATAAGGAGTCCGTTCAATAATCAATTCGCTCGCACTGTATCGCCATAAGATAATGGCATTAAATACTATCATATTCATGGTGGAAAAGCGGAAGAAAAGAAAGAAAGAACTTCGAAGAGCATCCATTTCCGATAAATTTAGTAAACTGATCCAATTCCAAGCCACTCCAAACAGTCACCATCGTTTCAAACAGCTGGAAAATCTAGAAATCGCCATTGGTTTTATTCTCCCGCAGTTTCCAGCAAGCCGATAGGATAGAGACAGCAGAAATGTTACCTTAACGGGGAGAGGAAAGTGGTTGAGCAGGTAATTGACATGAGCAGCGATGAGAGGAGATACAGTGTCGGAAGACATGGCCGTAGCAGGTAAACAACGGAACTTCTCGGTTAATTGCCGGCGATCGGTCTGTTTTCCACCGGCAAAAGGAAGAACAGAGAGCCACGGCTAACTGAAACAACAATCACTACCCTCTTGTGCGAAGCGGCGACGGTCTGCGATCAAAGAACAACTCAACATACTTAAAACCGCTGCCCCCTTCTTCGACTTCACTGAACCGCAGTCTAAACTACGACTTTGGTTAATTCGAGACTTTCGAGCCGCAAAGCGGGCCAGTGCGCTAGATTACTGTAAGTTTGGGCCTTATACTAAATTCGCAGGTTAATGGGCCTATTCTGGCCCAAGAAGGTAGGGGTAAAATCGTCAATTAGAATAGTGAAGAAAACCCTAAAATGACGTTCCCTATCTCCTTAAATACTACATAGCTTCAGGATTCAGTATTCATCCTCTATTTCGATTTTTAGGGCACGAAGACGAGTTGCTCGCTGCCTGCCGAAGCCTCTTGAACTTCTCTCTCAATTCTCCCTTGTATTTGATTGTTTTTGTTTCTCTTATTTTGAACCAGATGACGATTTTGGATTCAAATTCTCACGACGGTCGTCTGAGACGCATTACGTGTCGATATTGATGCAATGATCCATTTGTTCTGATGGTTTGATTTATTTCTTTTTCTTCTCGATATTTCTTTCTACGTTTTCTTCTCTTTCAAACGAATTCTGATTTTGATTTGTTTTTCTTGATACAATTTTTACGTGGTGAGTTCGATTTTAACGAAGTGTGATTTGTGCAAGCATGGTGATGATGATTTAAACCTGTCCGATCTGTTAATGACTGGAATACTTAACCTCCTACTCATACTGAATGCTTGCCTATATTTCTTTAATCTATGCCTTTAAGTATTTGCTCCGTTCGGCTTTCTGATTATTCATTGTTTTCTTCTGTTTCTGTTTGTTTTCCTCCTTTCGTTCTTTTTTTTTTAATTTCCCTTGGCACCATGAGGAGCAATTAATATTTCACATGAGATTGAAGAATCCGTGATTTTTACAACTAAAGTCCTTTTCATTCTGAGTGCCTAGCTTCACAGTCTACTTGATCAAACAAGGTTGATCAACTAAATTATGAATTAAATAAATATGTATTTTTTAATTTTACATTTTAATAATAATGCTTTGTAAGGGTAAATATTGTTTCTAGGATAGTATAAATCGTACTTCTTTAACCCTTTTTATATTTCCATTTGGAATTTATTTGTGACCATTGCATTATAAATTTTTACTCCCTTTTTACTTGTTGACTGTAAAATTATCAAAATATTCTTATTTCAGAAAAGTAAATTTATCCACAATTCTCATTCTCACTCTAATCTCTCCTTCCGAATTTCACTCTCTTGTCAATTTGTATCTAATATAGAAAACTTCTAATTTTTTAATTTAAGAATCAATTGCCAATTTAAAAACTCTTAGCTTTTAAATTTGAAAAATAGATTAACAAATTGTAAAAAGATTAATTATGAATCTAGTATGGAAAAATGTTATAAAAAATTATTCAAATTATATAGTGAAATATTAAATGTTTAATTGTTTCATTTTTAAAATTGAATTTGCATAATTATTTCACGGTTGCATAAATTCTTAGATTTAATTAAAGAAATGAAGATTCTATTAATTTTGGGTTAAGATTGCATTATTGCTCAGGTTTCAATTAATAAAAAGAGCTAGAAATAAATGTCCAAGTAAAAAAAATACTAGAATGGCATGAATCTCCCACTGGGATTCATAATCTGGACTTGGAATGCATGATTGGTCTGGGAATGTTTAATCCTGGTTTGAAATTGTTCTATCTTGGTTAAGGATTATGATTGTGTAATCCCGATCCTAATTATGAATTCTGTTTTGGGATTGTGCTATTCCGGGTTTGAATTCATGCCATTTTAGTTCTTTGCATTTATGTCATCTTATTTTGAAATTATGTAAATTTGAATTTTTATATTAAATGATTAAATATTTAATATTATTTACATAATTTTTATTTTTAAATTAAATTTATAATATATTTTTCAAATTTAAAAGTTTGATTTTTTAAGTTGTAATTAATTCTTTAAATTTTTCTATATTAGTTTCAAATTGAAAAGAGAGTAAGGTTTAAGGTAAAAAATTGGAGGGAATAAAAATCATGAAGTTGTTTTGATAATTTTACAATAAATTATACTTCCAATTGAATAAAAAAAAAGTCAAAAATCATTTTCCCTTGTCCTAAACATAACTTAGGTCAATATTACTTTTTTTTTTTTTGAGCAGGTTAGGTCAATATTTCTTAAACATTGTTAGAGTTCAACCTATTTTTTATTTGTTAAATGAATGTTGTTATACTATATTTTAAACTTCTGGAAAATGAGAAATGTTTTTTTTTATAAAATTATATATTCACCATCCCAATAATATACTAAAATTATAGTTCAAATACCTTTTCGATTCTTGTTAAAATTCCAAAAGAGTAACGCTCCCATCAAAGAAACATTTTTCGAACATGTATAGAAAAAGTTTCCTATAATTTGAATGAGCATTTTCACTATTATTGTAGAATGGCAGCGTATCTATTTCAACCTATTATTAAAGGAATATATACTTTATTACCATACCTGTAGTTTATCATTACAAGTTGGATAAGGAAGAATTCCCCTGACAGATGTCTTTATTCTTAAAAGTATAATAATGACACACTTATGGGCATCCTAAAACCCACTCGTAAATAATTTGAACGTCAGTAATATTTGTTTCATCTCAGCAGAAGTACAAGTAAATTACCTTATGAATTGGCAATCGAACAGTATAAATAAGTAATTTGCATCTTACTCCTTAAGATAAACCGGCTTCATTGCAGAGCCCAAACCTGAATTCATGAAAACTGAAGAATTAAGCTTACGAAGCAAGAAGGAATGATCTTAAATATAAGTATTTGAAAAGTTCAAACCTGTATTTTTCCATCAGAGGTGCCGGCAAGGAGCAATTCCCCATCATCATCTGTGGTTAGGGCAGTAAGCTTTGTGTGGCTACCACTAGCATTACCTAATTTAAGTGAAGCAACTTTTGTCAACTTTTCTTTCGACCAGACATCTATTATACCACATCTAGAGGCTGTAAACAAGAAGTCGGTGCTTATGGCCATGTGGTGGATGTCTACTCCAGTCGACAAGGATCCCACTGCTGCCTTATTAGACAGCGAAAATACCTTTCATATTTGAAAAAATCCCAAAAGAAACAGATCAGTTCGCCTTAAGAACATTCACAACCTTACACAGTTTTGTTGATGTTTGTACCTTCCCGGCTGTTGCATCCACCAAAGAACCTCCGGCAAACATTAGGTCGCCATTGATGTGCAAAGAATAGATGTTCTGCTTCCACAGCAATTTTCTAACACCAGCATAGAATGTGCTCGTTGTGTAGTTGGACAAATCTACCTCCTACCAATTATAGAAATTACACGTTTTGTCAACCTCATCAGTTGTCATTAGTTTTGATCTTTTCGACTTGCCAGGATGATTAACTTGGGCTAATCAAATTAAATGAGAGGAAGAGAATGTACCAGTATACTGTCACTGGAGCAACCACAATAGAGTTTATCTTCTGATAACGCCAGGCATTTAACGTATTTGTTGAAATTAATATGCTTGGGGACTCCGGAGCAGTTGTAAACCTGTAATATCCAATCCAACATATAGATTAGCAAGAAGATTGGTTACTATTAGCAAGAAGGTAGCCTGGACCGCAGTTACCTTAACTCCAGTTCCTTGAGAAACAAAGCATGCGACGTCGGCATTGGCTTTTAAGTCATAAACCGCCTCCTTCACTTCATGAACTTGAATGCACTGTATTTCTTCGGATTTGATGGCCCATATCTGCAAAATTGGTGGTTTTCTTTTTATAAGAGCAGTACACAAATCCAGAAGCGAAAGCGGTGGTTTCAAGAATTAATGGTGCAGTGAGAAAAAGGGAGGCCAATTTGCCATCCTCTAAGGGAACAAAATGCAACAGAATCGCAGCAGCCATTGCAAGACTGAATCCTGTCCCTTCCAATGGTTTAGAATGTTGAATGATCACTGTTGTTCGATAGTGGAAAGGAAGAAACCACGACGTAATTTCTCTTTTGAAGAAAACGCGTTGTAAATTAATCAAAATATAGGTTACCCTAATTGTTTTGTCTAAGGAACCACTGTATAATGTGTCGCCGGATGAAGAAACACAAAGGCACTTTACAGCTTTTGTGTGCTGACGAGCTTCTTGGATCAACCTTAATACTTTATTTCCAGCATCCCAAACCTACAGGCAGGATATTATGTGCAGATAGTAAGACAAGGTACGTTATTTACAGTAACTCTTAACTATGATTAAAAAGACGAAGGTGGCGCATACGATCCCGTTAGATCAGATTTATACCTTTATGGTTCCATCCGAGTGACTGCTTAGAACTCGCCCATTCAGATGAACCAGGGATGTAACCTCTCCATTTGAGCTCGAATCTAGTGCACCAACTTCAGTATAACTCCAAAGCTCTGTCTAATGGACAGACGATTAGTTGTAAGTTATGAATCCATGTTAATATGGATTAAGAATAGAACCATTTTCCCCAGTCCGACTTACTGCGTCAACAGATGGCAAGTTCATCAAGGCTTTCGTTATATCATTGACCACCAATGAGCTTCTCCTGAGCTTTCTCAACGTTTCGTTGATGGATCTTGCACAAAGTCCCAGTTCCTCGAGTGCAGCTGCATAATCAGTATCCGAATTGGTTCTAGTTTAACGAAATATAGATATTCACCATCAGAGTTACAATCAAAACTCACCTGGATCGCTAATGAAAGTTTTCAAAGCAAGGCATGCCAAAATCTTCTCCTCCAAGCTATTAGAAGATTGGATAATGTTTACAAGTTCATCAAGCAAGGACCTGCGAGCAGTCTCCTGTACCCCAGTATCTGGGAGTGTCGAAAGCATGTGGCAGAGCCACGAAACAATGACAAGACAGGACTTTGCAATCTCTAAGGATTTACTCTTTAGGCATTCCTTCAAGACTTTAAAAATGTACCCTTTTTCATGATTACAAAGAACAAGTGCTACCCTTTTCTCCCACGTGCTGACAGCCTTCTCTTCCTCCTGTTACATACATCTAAGATTTAGAAACGGAGGGATATACGGTGAAACAGGTTCCATATTAATCATAAATCCTTATAAATGCAAACCACCGTCTCCAATAATTCGCTATCAGGCTTCCTCAGTCCCTCGGCCTTCATCAAAGCATTGTAAGGCTGATCAAATCCTGCAAGTTTGAGCAACCACGCTTTTGTATAGGACTTCCCTGAGGAAGTCAATCGCCCAGATAGACACAATAAAGCATCTAGAGCTGCAATTTGAGAATTATAGTTTTCCTTTTTTCGAAAAGCTTCAAACAAGGCATCTATTGATTCTTCTCGGTAAATGCTCATTTTTCGTGGTTCAACCTGACACATAGCATAGTTGACTATTAGATTCAATATGAAAAATAATTTTCACATGCAAGCTAATTATGAGGTCTAGTCAAACCAGGAGATCCAGCTGCAGAAGAAGAGAAGCAATGCTCGGTTGTTGTTCCATTGGAGCCATTTGAAGATGTGTTAGAAGTGTATGCATCATACTAAATGCTCCTTCGTCTTTAATTGTCTGCAATATTTGATTGCATATTGTCCTACTGGAATTCACAACAAGGATAAGAAATTGAAATTGAGTTATGATACGGAAATTAACCAGAGGCGGTTCTTAGATAAACATGTGGATTGTGTAACATGCTAAATACCGTACAGACTGATTATGTTAGCGTGTGTCAATAATGTAATCAGGTTTTGAGAGTTTATAATGTTTTTTTGCTACTTGAATTTAGAAAACTAGCGTTTAATTTTTGACCCAAACCATAATTTCAGGAGAAAAGAAAAGAAAAAAAAATCAAGATCAGTTGGTTTAGTAGTTGAAGGCTGCTTCAACCTTTACCCACTTCGTTATGAAAAACAAAATTTCATTTTCCATTATTTCATTCATGAAACAAGGATTCCATCGTATAGGCAACTTAACAAGAAAAGTAATTTCTACGCAATAGTATTATACCTGTTCAACTGAACCAGCTCTGATAGAAAAGCAGCACACAGGCCTCTCTCGTCATCACTTCCAGCATGAAATAACTCAAGTACTGGAACAAGCTCTATCTCCTCTACTATCGAGTTCTTGCAACCATTGTCCACCCGCATACAACATAAAAGCATGGAAAGTATTGACCTCCTCACTTCTATCCCATCCAAAAACTTGACCAATGCAGGGATCCCTTTAGCAGAGATAAGACTCTTAGCATTCTGGGATTGGCTATTTTCATTCCCTCCCATAAGAATTTGTTCAAGCATTGCGATAGCTGCATCCTTTGGCTCTATTATAAACGGAAGATCATCAAAATCTTCATTTTTCTTCTGGAGCAGCTGGACGAGGGAAGGTATTAGGTCATGAGCTAATAACTGAGTAAATGTAGGCCTCAGCAGGCACATAAGAACAGAAGCCTCTGCCAACCCACTCGTCAGTAAAGAAGCTAGGCAATCAAAATCCGAATCTAGACTACTAAGGGACTCTCCAACACTTTCATCTGCACAAACAAGCTCAGAAAGAATGTAGATTGACGTTCTGAGAACTTCTCTTTCCTGGGAATTTAGTAATATTTCCACAAATCCGTTGACAACAGCCAATTCAGATAAATAAGAATGAACTGCTGGATCACATATTGAGTCCCTCCAAAATCCTGCTATGGCGAGCACAGCTGTTTCACATTGTTTCAAGTTTTCGAAATTACAAAGACAAGAGACAAAAGGTTTTAAATTGCTAATGATCTTCTCGACTGTAGCTTGAGAGATTACACTTGTCGGCGATGAAGCCACTGCCACTTGCATTAATCTTTTGCCTTTTTGGTTTAGAGACCCGTACGTATTGCTAAGAGGAAGGTAAGATGATCTGCTAGGAGTAGATGCCAGAGAGCTCGCCTTTTTGAAGGCGGAACTGACAGTACTTACTGATGTACCAGTCCACGAACAATCTTGAGCAAGATCAGGATGCTGTTCTTGCCAAGACGTTATCAGTCTCTTCAAGACATAATTCGTCTTAGGCAATACAGTTGAAGACAATGGCTGCCGTGTAATGGGGCAAGTTGTATTTCCTCTTTTTAACCATTCCTGAATCGCTTTTCTTTCATAAGTCTGCCCAGTTTCTAGAGTAACAGGATCACTGAAAATCTGACCTGTTATGGGGCATACGAAGTCTTTAGGGGGTCGCACCACGTGTGTCGGATTTTCAGACAATCGACTTCTGCTTTCCTCCTCAAGTTCGTCTATTGAACTGTGGGAAATTAAAAAGTTTGAAGGTACTTATCTTATTTGTGGGAAAATAATAGCTCCAATTAATTGAAAGTGAAATATTGTAATTACCAATTCTCGAAGTCTTGGCTACTCACGTTGTCATAGGTTACATTGCATGTTTGCCTATAGCTTTTCCTGCAGTTTTTCTTCAAGTCCTAAATCACAGAGCAATCGCAATTAAAAGACAGATTTTCAAAGTGCAAGTATACAAGGGGAAAAAATGGAACAGAAATAGGAATACATCGATTAGTATGAGAGAAGCACTTACATCACCATCAGACTCTACCGAACTGAAGCTGTAATCGCTCCTAATTGCTGGTGATCCGGCTACAGGGGTAGCAACACGTCGATCGCTGCAGCGGCTGGATAATAGTCGCAGCGCAGAATGAGGTCCACTTTTACATTTCTCATCCATTTTTGGAGACGAAACTTTCGGTGAAGGGATTGAAGGAGATGCAATTGGAGAAAAAATAGTGGGAGAATGTATGCGACTCCTCACTTTCGACATCTCTGCTTTAGATTCTGTTTGTTCATCCTCCGACGTCCTGGTGCTACTAGGTGATAGTAACTTATGAGTTGTAGTATCACTGAGATCGTAAGAATCGTAAGGTTCATGATCAGAATCGTCCTCATTCTCCTCTAGCGAATCAGTCTAGAAAGATAAATCAAAACAGAGCTTTTGTTATTGCTGAACTGCGACTCAGACGGCCAAGAATTCTTCTGGTGCATACACTTAGAACTTCCTAGCAATTGGAATGATGAGAAGTGGAATTTGAACTCGAGACAAACCTGAGCATGCCACCGTGCAAATTTCTCCGTGTTGTTGGCTGAATTGGAAGTCTCCTTTGGCCTATTTGAACTCAAATTCTTGGTTAGAAAACGGAAATAACAAATTCGAAGTAATTCCAGTACTTATTCATTGAAAAATTTAAGACAATCAACTAGCATATATTTTCAGGTCGAGGAGCCGTCCTGAGAATTGAGGAATCTAACCTGCTTGCTTCTGTTGCACCATCTTTAGATTTTGGTATGGACGAAAACCCGGCACTCTTGGGTAAAATAGGTCCGAATTTTACGTAATCTGGAATTGAGCGGCTCACTTCGTGAAGAGGAGTCATAGGTGGCTCCGCGATTGGCAGCATCGGTGCAACCTTCTTGGTAGAGCTTGAATCAGCATTCATACAATCCTTGAAGTATTTAGCAAAGAGCCTTGTGTTCTTGTCCAAAGATTCGCCATAAAGCTGCTCCAATTTATGCAATTTCTCCCCCTGATCAGGCCTCAGCGAGAATATCAAAGATTCGTTGAAGAATTGATCTAAGTCAGCTGTGAAAGATAAATCAGAGGAATCAGGAATCACTTCGATCATAAGCCTGTGCCTCTCCTCTGAATACCACCCAACAATTGAGCTCATGTGGGGTAGAAAGAGTTCTTTCCAGAGATCAGGAGCAAAATCAATGCGTGAAAATAAGGGATCCACTATAAACATCTCAAGAATATGAAGAACTGAGTTGTTAACATTTCCTCGCAATTTCCAGAGATATGAAAGATTTAGATGAGCCCAAGCAGAAAGGTAGAAGTTGGGAACTCCAGCAGTTTTCTCGTTAGAGTTCAACAAGGCACACACTTGAAGCATCTTCTCCGCATGGTCAAGTCGCGCAAATTTAGTTTCCATATTGGATGTGTTGAGAGCCTCCTCAAGGGCTTCAATACCCCAATCCAAATTCGCCAGCACTGCTTGATCAGAGTACCTAACTTCTGCATCTTTGCCATCGCTTCCATCTTCAGCTGCCAGCCTCTCAGCACACTGCTCTTTGTGCAGGTTCCTCTGCTCTTTATTGATTAAACGACCTAGGGTGAAATCATCAATGGTGGCAACCAATAACCTCACAATGTCCTTTTGGTCCATTGCGAACCTATATTCACCAGCCATCCTTAGGCACAGTTCTCCCCTCGAGTTCACTCTTTAATAACTAACAAAGGCACATTAAATTTCACTTCGTCATCTCTTTATCTACCGAAAATCAAATCAACAGATCAAAATCTTCAAGCGGCACAAAGATCTCTACTAAAACAGTGACAGAGATATAACTACAAACGATAAAACAGGGATGAAAATATCAAATAAAACTAGTTTCAGAAACAATCATACATGTTCAGCAGTAAACTACTTAATCGTAGTTGATCATGGACTGTTCTTCAATGAAACAACTCCATTGTCGTAAGAATCACTCACCAAGCTATTCACGCACGCAGAGAGAGAGAGAGGTGAGTGTTTACAACGGATCAAAAGGACATAATTATACTAAAACAATTACAGAAATATAACTGCAGACGATTACATAGGATGAACATATCAACAAAAATTAGTTTAAGAAACAAGCATTACAGTGAACTTACCTCCGATCGAAGTTGATCCTGGACTTTTCTTCATCGAAGCAACTTCATTGTCGTAAGAATCACTCACCAAGCTGTTCATGAACGCATAGAGAGAGAGAGAGAGAGAGAGAGAGAGAGTTTTTGACAGCCGGCCGCTGGATGGTGGAAGAGTTGGTTGCCGGCTGCCGTTCTCTGAGAGATAATCAAACCGAAGACTTCCAATAATTTCTTAATTAATAAGTATCGCTATTAGCAAAAGAATTAAAAATCAATAAAGGAATTCGAATCGTCGTTTAGTGACTATGAAAATGGAGGCAACCGTCGCCGCTTTGGTTTAAGAAGCATTGGACCTATCTAATCTAAGCAACATCCAAATTCCAACTGTTCCCCGCCTGTTTTTTTGGGATGAAGATGCCTGAAATTTTATATGCCCGTAATTTTAGATATCCGACATCTTTAGATAACTAAAAATTTATAAGGATATTCGGGAATATTTGGATCAAAGTTGTAGAATGTTCCAAAAATACCCTTACAAATGTTTATATAATTTATAAACTCATTTAATATAATTGATTTATTTGAATTAATTTAATATTTTTATTTTTTATATGTTATTTCGTAAAACAAATTAATTCATATAAAATTTCATTTCAACTTTAATAGTTTTTCAAGACATCAATCATATAATTTATGTAATATTTGGTGAAATTTATTTATCTCATTATCACATTATATTTTTTTTAAGAAGAAAAATATCACAGGTATATTAGTCGTAAAAAATGTTGCTTTAAAATTATTTATGATAATAAATATTTTTAATAATGTAATTTCCTCCGACTATTAAAAATAAATGTAGATATTAGATAACTTTATTGCAAATTATTTTATGTACAAATATACTTAATAGCATAAATATCATAAAGTTGTTTATTAGATGACGAATACATTAATTTATTTTAATTATCAATTTAAAAATAAAAAATAAAGATTTTTTTAGAAAAAATAAAAAAATTAATTAAAGAAAATATATGGAAAAAAATGAAGGGCAAAAATATAAAAAACGGATGTCCTCAATTCGGGAATCTTAAAAACCCGTGTTTCAAAAGGGAATCCAAAACTCATAAAATGTCTCCCATATGGGCATCTTAGGATACCCGGACATCTCAAAATTCTCTTAGGGAAATTGACTCATATAATCTAAAAAGTTTAGGTTTTGTCCAGATGACCCATCATTAAAAAATTAACTTTTTCTGATCAAGGAGAAGTTTGTCTAACACATCCGAACTGGTGAAAAGACGAAACTACCTCTAATTTAATGAAAAAGTTCAAACTTTTGGATACCAAAGTACGATACAACTCGTCCTAGATTGCAGCCAACTCGACCGAGTTTTTAAATAATTTTGATCAACCCCAATTAATTATCACAAAATTTTTGCACCAGCGTTTCGCATGTCTCTTTACATGGCAGAGAACAAAATGTTCTTAGAGCTCGAAAATCTCCACACCTTCCACATTTTTGTAACCCTTGAAAGAAATTCATTTTTACAACATGTAAATTCTTTGAACGGTGAACTCCCAGAAGCATATTTTGAAGGTTGATTACATTTCATTTTCTCATTTTCATTATTTTGAAGGAGGTTAGTTTGTTATTTGTTTTGAGTATAGTTGTATTTTTGAAGTTGAAAGGGATTCTAAACTAGGCTGATAACAGAAATTTTAACTTTTTACTTCAGTTTTGATTAAATCTCGGTTGAGTTGCATATTAAACTCGAGGGAGTTGCATAAACCCAGTCGAGTTTTATAAATCCCAGTCGAGACATTTTTTCGAAGTGTGTTGCATCTGAAACTCGAGGGAGTTGCTTAGGAACCCAGTCGAGTTTTGTAAATTTTCAAAATCCCAATCGAGATTTTGTATAACCCAGTCGAGAAAATCTTTCCGAATTCAATTAATTATCTATTCTTTGTTTTCTTTCCTTGCAGAATGCGTCGTCTATTTGTAATCTACGGTGGTAAGTGGAATGAGGTAGGAATTGTTTATGAAGGTGAGGTTATGGGAGGTTTAGACGTTGACGAAATGATAACGTATGACGACCTAGTAAATGCATTGTACAAGCTTACGAGAATTGATCCTGATCAGTTCAATATTGTTATATAATGCATATATAAATTTCAAATGCAATATGAAGTTCTTAAGTTCTTTATTTTCGATGATATTAGCCTCAGATTTTATTTGAATGGCCTTCCAGACTGTTCTCAAGTGTCGTTGTATGTATCCTTCCAACCGAAAGAAGCATATGGTAGTGGTAGCAAACGAGGAAATATACCATTTTATTCAGGAACCCAAATATCATCTTCATTTCCATACTTTCCAAGTCAGAATGTTTCATCATTCGATTTCAATTTCTATCCATTCCCCGTTACAAGGTGTTTCTGCCCCCTCATTTGTCCCATAAATAACCTCCTTGACCTACAACGTCGTCCCATGCAACCTAGGTGATGACAAACCACCACATTACGAGGGAGTTCGTCCTCAGAATTATTTCCAATGAGCTTAACTCTCGAGCAAACTTCCTTGAGTTTTTTCGAGATTTAAGCTCACTGAAAATAATCCTGAGGACGAACTCCCTCAGGATGCATCGAGAAAGTTGGCAAATTCTTCAAATTGAACCCTAATTTTAAATTCCCTAAATTAAACCCTAATTTTAATCTTCTAAATTCAACCATAATTTCAAATCTCATGTATTTATTGTCCAAATTGAACCCTAATTTGAAATCCCCTAAATTAAATTGAACCCTAGATTGAAATCCTACCTCTTGTCATCGGAAAAAAAAAAACCCAAGATTCGTGAAAAAAAAAATATTGAAACATATGAGAAACTAACCTTTTAGTTTGCGTTTTAGATTTTAGACGAGTTTCACAGGGACAAATGATGAAGTAGGGAACAAAGAAAAAAACTCGATGAAAAACTAGTTCTAAAATGAGGGGTAAGTTTGTAATTTTACATTATTTGATTTATGTTAAAATAATATATTGGGTTGGAAAAGTGAAATTTTTTATTTTGGGTCATTGGAGCAAATTGAAAACTTAATTATGTCATATATGTCAATTTCTCCCCCTTTTATTCACTGCTTCAAATTCTCCAAAATACCAAAACGCCAGATTTTGGCGGGAAATTTACCGACCCGAAGGCTAGTTAATTACTATGTAATTGTGATTTTTCGATTTAATGAAAGATCATTTTTATTGCATGGGAATCCATGCTGCCCTTCATTTTACCGACGACCAAAACTGTTCCAAAAGGAATGTTAAATTGAAAATATATATATACTAACGGTTAAGAAGTCCAAAATCTCCATTAATTAAGGCCAAAACGAACATAACTCAGCGGTAATTGGCATATAACTCCAATTAAGATTGATCGCAGAAAAAAATCTCGCTGGATTAAGAAAAATACCATTTGGGTGTGAAATTTTGCGTTACTTGTCTCTAAATCCTTCCGCCTACCGGCCCGATGTATTGTTATTGGGTCACAAGCCGAAAACCCAGGCCCATCACCGTGGCAAATTATACCAAAATAATTCAACCACCAAAAACAGTCCCAACACTAACACTAACAGTGAGTTTGAGATAATTTGTTTGGCTCTTTTTTGTTGGTCTTTTTTAGCATTATTATTTTTTGTTTGATCAAACAATTTGTTAGGCTCTGAATTGACTTTTAACGTGAATAAAGTTGGAAATTGTTTATTGAATTTCTATGATGTGATAAGTACCCACTGATTATTACCTATTATTTTAATTTTAAAACTAAAATCAAACAACTTATTATTATTATCATCATTACTGTTATATATATATATATATATATATAAATGATTAGAAGAAAAAAAAATGATGATATAAGGAAGCAATAATGTAATTTAACGGAAAAGGAAAAAAAAAGATTTCTCACACTTTGATGGGCTGATGGGGCCTGGGCCGAATCCAACTTGATCAATTAATCGTGCCGGTGAACCACCGCCGTGGACATATGCACGCCACCATGGGTCATATGGTTCGGGCTCTCCGGCAATGGCCGATGTTGCAGAAACATTGGTGCGGTTGCGCCGTGCATCAATTTCTCACCTCATCTCCGCCGTGTGTGACCAACAGAATTGACTCTCGTCGACTCTCTTTAGCTACCGTCCATTCCGCTCGTCGCGAAGTCCAATATGGTTCAAAAGGACTCAGATTATCCAATGCTCCAGCACCGACTAAATTCCAAGAAGATGAGAGCGTTGATGACGATTCTGATGCTAAAAAGAGCCGCAACCAGCTGAAACGTGAAGCTCGACGCGCCGTCCAATGGGGCATGGAGCTCGCCGCCTTCTCCACTCCTCAAATTAAACTCATCCTTAGGTATTATCCTCTCACAACATTATCCGAAAACTAGACTTCAACTTCTAGTTCTCGTATTATGTTTGTCATAGATTCTCTTCGGGAATGGGTGAAGGAGTTTGAGTTTCCGAATTTAATGACACTAATGTGAATTATTCTAACTTTTCCGGGGCAATAGAGCGGCGTCCCTCGAGAGAGATGTCTTTGATGCAGTAATGCTTGTGAAGGTGCTGTTTATAGTGCTTGTATTTTGTGGTTAGTCGTATCCTTTTGCAGTCTTGCGACACACGAACTTTTTGTATGTTGTAGTTAAGGTGTTTGATATATTGACGCAGAGGCTTGGACGTGATGTCAGAGAAGGAAAGCGAAGGCAGTTCAGTTATATTGGTATGTTTATATTTCCTTCATTTAATAAATGTGCATTTGTGCAGATTGTGTTAGAAGTTTGAACCTCAATTGATATTTTAATATAAGAGAACTAAATCTGAAGAACCCTGACATGAAGAAATGTAAACCTACATACAGTCTATTGGTCCTTAAAATGTACGAGAATGAGATTCTGTAAAATGTAAGGAACGAGATCTTCCTTCTAAATAATACTCTTCACAAATTTAAAATTTAAGATCTCAATTTGTCAAATATATATCGTGATCAAGATGGCCGTGGAAGACCCAACCAGCAAGTTCCAACAAATCTTTTCTTCATTTTTGGAGAAGATGTTCCACGTTGTTAAAAGCTAGATCCATATTAGGTGTGTCTAAACAAATATCTACAATTTCTGACAAGTATTTCTTCATTTTTGGAGAAAGAGCAGATGGTTGTTGAAAGCTAGATCCATATTACGTTGTTAAAAGCTATCTGAATGACCAAACAAATACTTGCTAACAGACCGAACCTCCACCAATAATTAAGATTTTTTGGGGTTGGATAATCTATCAAATGTTGATTAAGTGGAGGATATAGGTTGTTTAAGAAGAGAGAATGGTTGGTTTTTTTTAGTCATTTCTCTTTCCTATAGTGACAACTATTTATTTCAAGTTTTGAGGAAAGATCTCAAAGAGATTCTTATCTCATTCTATTCTATTCAAGTGGTGACCTAGAATGGCCAAGTTGTTCTGGCCTTGGATTGACCATAACCCTAATTAAGGTAATGTGATCAGTTATCTTATCAGGCGCCCACACTTAACCCAGTAAACTGCCATCAGGTGACTACTCAACAAGTTCATACCAGTTTTAGAAATCTACAGGCTCAATTTAATTGACCATTTTTATCAAACCCACTTAGTGTAAGAGTGATAATATAATTTGTTAGTATATATGACATATAATATATATATATATATGTATATATATATATATATATATATATATATATATATAGGTCATATCAGCTGAGGGTCTTTTGTTGGCTAATCACAGATGAACTATAAGCTAAACGCTCAAATGTAACACTTTAAACCGTGCTTACCATTGAATTTTCACTGGTTTCACCTTAAGTCTCTGAATGAATAAATTATAATTCGTGATGCGCTGCTCACATAACCTTGATCTTCAAAAATCCAACAAAAACAGGAAACCTTCTATTTTGATTGGAACTTTATTTTTCCAAAGATTTGTTATGTGACTCTGATCAGTTCATTTAATTTGCTGCAGGAAAACTGCTAAGGGATGTTGATCCTGAATTAATGGACAGCCTAATACAGGCCACAAAAGACGGTGACCAGGGCATGCTAAAGACACTATCTGGTTCAATAGCTTTTGATGATGATGATGATGCAGAATCCGAATATGAGGAGGAAGAAGAGGTATTTTATTATAGGGTCTTTATTACCCCTTCATATTTGGCATAATAGACATTGTTCTAATTTGTATTGAAGTTTACCCGGTTGGGATAATTATACTACAGCGTGGAAGAAATAAAATTAATAGACTGAACTTAGAAAATGAGAGCCAACGAGTATAACAACTGTTGCTCTATTAGAATTTAACTTTGATTGATTTATGGCCTGATTGGTAACTTACCATTTCTTGTTTCATGTTTTCTGTTTATCGTTTCCTCCTCTTTAATAAAGAAAAGCATCACTATTTTTTGTTTCTTATTTTTTTTCTCTTTTATTGAAAAAATAAATAAAAACGTGTTTGGTATCAATTTCTTATTTCTTGTTCTCAAACCTGTTCAATTAAAAAAGTAATAGTTTTATATGAAAATTATTTTTTTACGTTATATTTATTATACATTTTATAAATTACGAATAATAAAAGAATATTTTTGTTTGTGTTTTGGAAAAAAATCGAAAATAGAAACAAGAAACAAGAAACTTTATTTTGTTATTTAAAAAATTTATACACAATTTTAGAAACGTTTCCAAAAAATGAGAAACAAGATACAGAAACAATTTCGAAATGTTTATATTTTTAAAAACTAGAAACCAGAAACAAGAAATGGGAATGTTATTAAAGGGGCCTAAAAACCTTGGTTTCTGGACTCAATTGAAGGGGCATTATGTTCATATATGTCATTCAATGCCATATTATTCATTTTAGTTTTAGAAGTTTGCCTCTGGATCCTCCAGCAGAGAAGATAGTCATTATTTTATTTATTATTTTTCCCCCCATATCTTAACTAGGGTCCGCATGTGGATACTGCAACAAGATGGCTTGATGGGTTAATCAATAAGGACAACAACATTACAAATGAAGTTTACTCGCTACAAAGTGTTGAGTTTGACCGTCAGGTACTTGACTTGCTGCTTCCTAACGCTTTGTTTTTTGTTTTTCGTTGCAATGGTGTGTTATCCTTACCCATCTTTCTTATATCATTCTCTTGCCTGTTGAATAAGTTATTAACTCATTCAGTTCATGCCACCTAAATTTGCTACATCTCTGTAATGTTTTCAGTTGTTTAAGATTGTCGCAATCTAAAGAGCCCTTGCTTGGCTGCTAGCTGAAAATTTTTATAATTAGGCTTGCTTTGTCTACTCTCAATTAGCCAAAGCAACATAATGATAAGACAAGGAAATTATGAACGATTATAAATTATAACTTTAAGCTTTTATTAGCTTCTATTCCCATGCCCAATTCTGACTTACATGACAATCATTAACAGGAGCTGCGTAGACTTGTTCGAAAAGTGCATTTGGTTGAAGAACGCAAGGCGGCAACTGAAGAGAATGAGGATGAAGTCAATATGGAAATAACAAACGCTAGAAAGTCCCTTACTCGTTTTCTTTGTAGAATGGCAAAACAATTGCCCTCCTATGAATTCTAGTGCAATTTTATTTGTGCAATATATTAATTTAGCATTCTTTCCTATGCACACTTGTTTTTAACCTTTCAGACTGTTTACTCTCACTCTCAACACTCAGGTTTCTTTTCCTTTTCTTCCACTTCTTTAAAGTCTGCTTGAGAAAGTAGTTGAATGCTAAGGATCAGAGAGACTGCATATCAGGTTCCGAGGGTAATCTGATTTTCAAGGTCTTTCCTGATTCATTTCATGTCCATTTCCATCACTTTATATCTGCAGGAATGCTTTTTAACAGCTGCGGAATTGGGAGGGGTCGAGAAGATGGACTGTGGGAGAAATTTGGCCTATTGATGATGCAACTACAAGCACACTCGAACTTGCCAGGAAACCAACAAAAACTACCTTACATTTAGGAATACTCGCGATATTGTTTAAAATTCCATCTTGCCCTTTTCTGCATCAGCTTATGCCAATTGAGGGTTGCAAAAGGCAGCACAACTTTTGCTTTAAAATTGTAATTTCTTCTTTATGATGGAAGATTAGTATTGAATGACGCCATGTTTTTTAGTGGTATTAACACGCTGATTGAACAATGATTGCAGGTGACGCTGGCTCCTACATCAATGCCTCGAACCGAGACCACTTTCTGAAAATTTCATGTCATAAACTTCAACATTCTCGGCCCGGCGGGCTGCTGTTAAATCAACTGGACAAACGGGTACGCAAAATTTGAACAGGATTACTCTTGGACATGGTGTGAATTGTGAGAAGAAAACAAAACCCACCAAAATGTGGTCCAATCTACAGAAACAACAGGACACAATTTCCTGAAAGTAAGGGATTTCTGCTTACTGCTCAGGTTTGTCTTGTATGTAATTTTTATTTTCGTTATATATTTAATTTTATTAGTAAATTATTTTGATGTTTCCATCTAAATAAAAATACACTACAGGACAATTGTTCCAATTGGAGATTCATCCCTTCTACTTGGACAATTTCGAGACTCATCCCTTTCTACTTTTGCACAGTAAGCAGTTCAAGAAGCCATCAAACATTTTTTTACAACCAATCAACCTTTTGAAGAGATTAAGGATTCATGTCCTATGACCTTCAAACATCTTGAATTGACATCAAACTCTTAATTATTAGAATCTGGTCGGCCGCTGTACACCAATGTGAAAATTTCAAGTGTTTTTTTCTTTACAAAACACGGCCATTTGTTTGCAAGTTGATACAATTTAGAAGGGGAAAATGTTATAAACGGCATAAACGAATTTTTGTCGACAGGTTGATATTTTCAAATAACCCATTTCTGATATGTCTCTTTCCCTTTAATTAAGATCAGAGGCCAGCTGTTTAACACCTTGTTATGATAAAGGGTGGCTGATAAATATTAGTTAATTTCTTCTAGTGGTCCTCGGTATTGAAAATAAAAGGGCCTTGTGAATTTGCCGATTTGGTAATGACTTTTCTTTTCAAGAGATAATGTTCAAAAGTAATTAAAATCTTTGATATTTTTAACGTCAATAGAGCATTAAGAATTTTCTCTGTTTCAAAAAATTTAGCATAGCATAAAACTGCAAGTTTGTTAGCTGTCAACAGAATTAACGTTTTCTCAAACTTTTGTATCATTTGAAAATTTCTAACGTTTAAATTATATAAAATATTCTTGAATTATATAGTTGATAAAACATAACATTTTACACAATTATGAATTCAATACAGTAGTTAGTTTCATACCTCAAAACTGAATGTTGTGATCCACTAACATTTTACACGATTTAGCCACTCTAAATACATGTGTAAAGGCATGGGTATTGGCGGCTGGGAAATTGGTGGCGCACCGCAGTTGAAATGAAAAAGCATTCGTGGGGGACAAAGACTAGATATGGATAAGGTCAAAACAAAAACCCACCTTTCCCAATTTCCATTTCTTATGCTTTTTTTCTCTCTTTTTTCAATAAAGATTTCTTATGTCTATTTCCATCAACTTTCCTCTGCCGCCTTAATTCTTCAGCTTCTACGCTACATCTTCTGGCTGCCCCCCTTCAACACTAAACTATGCATTACTAGTGGGTACATTTTACATTTGGTTGAAACATTAATCTAAGGACAAATCTTACCTATGCATTACTAGTAATTACTGCTTTCTGACATGGTATATTTTCATTGGTCATTTTCAACTACATTTCATAAATAGGTATATCTTACTAAAGTTTCTTAATCACTAGTAATATGTGGTACATCAAAAAGTTAAAAAGAAATTCCTATTCATCGGTGTTAATTTATTTTAGTTAAGCAGTAACATGGCAATAGTTTGAACACATAAGCTTTTATTCTAATATAACAGTAATAACTTGACCTAATTAAAATGGCAACTTGATCAGCTCAGATTTTTGCATCTGAGTCTCCACGATTGCGTGCTGAAATAATCAAGTTGCTATCAGGAAAACCCATCTCTGGTGGGTAGCTGCTTATTTAAAACTTTGCATTATAAAAATCAACAATTTTTCGAAACATTTTGAAGGTTGATTTGGGTTTGAATATGGAGAAGAGGAGTTGAAAATTGGAACGTTTCTCCGGTAGTTGTTATATGTTGAGATCATAATCAATTTTGGGTACAAAAACCAAAGTTGATATTGGAATGGGAAGTTGCATCCAACCTGAATTTGTCAAATTTTGGTAAACAAAGTAAAGAATAATATTATTGAAGAACAAGTAACGCACCTACGTGGAACCTTAGTCAAAGAATCCACCAATCAAATTTATTTGTTTAAAAAGTTTCTAGCGAGGTTGACTGGTTTGAAATTTCTGGCAAGAAAAACGTGGCCCAATCAGACCAGCAACCTGAAAAAGACTTCATTTTTTCTTTTTTCATCGTCCTTGTGTGCTCTTATTACTTTATATATTCTCAATTCTCATGCAGTTTTTCTTTGGATAAGTTATAATTTTGGAACCAAAAGTTACTTTATTCTCCTCAGATTGGCATGAAATATAGATTATTATGATCCTAGTCGGTGTTTGCGGTTAATTAATTAACGAAGAGCTTATATAATTTACACGTTTGATTAATTTTTTCTCGAATTGACATGATGAGTCATATAGTTTGTAGAAAGTCAACATTTCGGTGTGGCGCTAGATTTTCATACTAATATTATGTTTTTTTTTTCATTTTACTAATTAATTATGGTACTTCAAATCAAAAGTTTATGTCGAGGAGCTACAAATGGTAAATGCCAACTAAAGTTATGGTAAAAAAAAATTTCTAATGTTGTTAAGTGCATTGAAATTGTCAAATAGTAATGGTTAGATTCTGCGCACACAATTATTAAACCAAAAAAAAATCATTAAAATTGTGGTACAAATTAATTGTTGTTGAGTGTGGATATTTGTTCACAAACCAACCAGATATTTCTTTAAAGATCTCTGATTTTTGGCGCAAACCGACTTCGAAATTAATGTACAACTACAATCTTTAATTGCCACATCATTAATTCCACATCCATAATTTGTGGAGAATATATATATATATATATATATATATATATATATATAATTTCGGTCAAATTTTCAATTATAATCCAGATATTTTGATACCTTTACGAGTTGATCTTTATAAAATAATTTGTTTTGTTTTCATTTATATTTTAATAATTGATTTTTCGATGTCACTTGAAGAATAATATGTTATGTAAAAATAAAAATAAACAAAAATCAATTAAATTATCAGTCAGTAAGAGGGATGGACTTGAATAATAATTTGACCTTATATATAAATTATTCGTTTATTAGTTAATAAATTTGCTATGGAAATTAAAGAGAAGATTATATTTAAACTATTAACTAGGTACGAAAATAGAGATTTGTAATGGATAAGATGATTCATCTGTTGAATATTCATATAATTATTCTCAATTTTTACTTTATAATATACAAAAGTTCAACATATTTCAGTAATAAAATATAAGAAATGTAAAAAGCACACGAATTTAGATTTTAGAGCATGAATGGTTTGACTTTAGAAAATGAGTTTTGGACTAGAAAATTATTTTCAAATACAATTACAGATACTGCCTTGGCTGTGGCTGCTTTAATTAGTCAAACTTCCCATGCGACCTGGGCACTACAAAAATAAAATATAATAATAATAATAATAATAATAATAATAAATAATAATTCTAAATATCCTATTTCTTATTTAGATTTTCTTACTCCTTTTCAATTCAGAGCGACATTTTTATTATTTAGGTTAACTTAAATTTTTGTTGTTAAACGTTGGATTTATTATAATTTTTAAATTTCTAATAACATGACTTGATAACCAGTTGGTGATTGGTTATGATTTTTAACAAAGGAATACATACAATTAATTACACTATCTTAACTTGCTAATTGTATTAGTTAAAAATTTATTCAATTAGTTGCTAAACCATCCCAATATTTATGGAATGAAATATCATATTAAAATTATATCAAATAAAAAATAGTTAAAGGGTCAAAATCACTTCCCTTTCCATTGATCATGTTTGACAAATTAAAATTTTGGTATCATTTGGATGGTGATTTTGAAAAATCAATTATACTTAAATCTCTTTTTTCAAAATCACTAAATTCTACCCTCACTGCAAACACCTAAAATCAACTTCAACATAGTTGAATTGGTTAAGATAAATATCATTCACCAAAATGTCAAAAAATTGAAATTTCCACATTTACATATCGAGATATAATTAAGGGTAGAAATCAAATAAATAAAGTTTCGATATAGCACGATTGAATATAATACTAGTTCTAATTCTAATTTATTTTAGAATATGTCATTTATCCTTTTTAAATTTAGGAATTCAAATCTTCAATTTTTTTTAAAAAAAAAACATTTTTAATACACTATAAAACAACATTATTGTGAGTCCAGAGTAAAAATAAATTTTCAAAAAGGGGCAAAAGTTTATATTCTAATTTATATATATATATATATATATATATAATATTTTAATTATAAAATTTAAGATAATAAAAAAGAAACTATTTAATATATAAACTCTTTAAATTTACCAAATAAGGAGACAGTTGCCCCCTTCGACTTCGACTCCACTCCTTAGTCCTTATCGATATTTTAACTATTCAATTATACAGTATGTCAAAAAAAAAAAAAACTATTCAATTATACATAATTTCGATTTTCGAAAAGCCATGGATATATTTTTGTTATGTTTCTCTCTTTTAAATAGAAAAAATTAAAAAACTATCGCCCGGGCCCCACCAGTACTGGACACGTCAGCGTGAAGCTAGAAAAGTCCGTGGAGGTTCCCGTGTCTATAAATAACTGGATTCATCCTCCCGTTTGAAAACTCACTCCAATTCCTCTGTTTATCTTCCCACACCAATTCAATTTCTCCTAACATTCTCCTCTTCTCATCTCCCCATTATCAATGGATTCACAAATTTCATTCATATTATATCTCCTAACAATCCAAATTTCAATATCAGGTAAATTTATTACACTTTCAGTTTTTTTT